TTAGGCTGTTTTGTATCGTCGCCCATGTCTTCTTGATGTGTCTTTTTTCGGTGGAGTCTCTGTTAGTTTCGAATGCAAGGTGCCGGCCTTTGAATCGTATTATCGGAACCATTATTGTTGTCTGATCCCACACCGTCACCGCGTTTCCCTCGATGCGAAAATAGCAATACCTCCACCTTTCCGCCAGAAAATGTTAACTTTGAATAAATCTATTTTCTATCTATTAGAAACAGATGGCTTCAATGTCCAGAACGTTTTTCCACCGACTGAATGTTATCCTGGTGAAAAACTTTTATCGTATGCCAGGCTGGCTACGCCAACTTCTCCAACCACTTATTTTTCGTCTCAATTAAGCTCAGTTACTACTATAGTTGGTGTATCAACTTGTGCTCTTCTCCCCTCAGCGTTTAATCTCACTATAATACTCATATTTAAATACTGTACATATAGTAAGTATGAGCCAGGACACAAAATATGACACTATTTATTTTTTTTTACTTTTGGAAACGCCGAACAATGGAGTCTTATGGAAATTTTCCCAGTGTTGCTGTACCGAATCCAATAACCTAGCTGTTACATGGTGCACTATGACAAAATTATATTGTATATTTGAACGATACGTAGGCTGACGGAATTCAGCTGGAAATCTATCTTGATAACGTAAATGCACTCGTGAAATATAATCAATCATAACCGTAACTTTGATGAAGTAGAACATCGACGAGTAACTAACAAATTCCAAAAAATTTAAATAACACAAAATGGGATAGGAATTTATTTCCGAACCGAGTTTGAACGACCAGTAAACGCAAAAATTGTAGGCACAGTTCCGGGTTTTTAACTTTTTTTCTACCATCGCTCCTGTTATTTTCTAGCTCTGTGTCTTCAAAATGTCTCTATCAAAAACCTAATCTACAAGCATATGTTTAGAATACAAGGTTAGAATAGGTTTTCATCCAAGAAGACGAAAAAATTGAACATTGCTGGTCAACGTTCACATATATATGTTCACACTATTGCGTTGACGCACCTTCAAACCTTGTTTGTTTTGTAGTGCCATTAGGCTATTGGTATAGAGATTATGCTTTTCCCACCTGCTTTCGCTGTATGAGTTGGAAACTCTAACCCCATATTTTTTATAAACACCCACCCACCCACTATTCTCAAACGCTTTCTCTCTTATGTACCTGTCCTTCAATTACCTCCACCTCGTCTTGCTTCCTTTCACTGTTAAAATAAGAATACTGCTATTTCAGGAGATGTCATATTTCAGATTATATTTGACTTCAAATCGAGTCTGTTATTCCACTCCGTTGCCGCGTTCCCCTCAACGCGAAAATAGCTAGATCTCCATTTTCCGGTAGCGAATGTCAAATTTGAATAAATTTATTTTTCCATCTCTTTGGAACCAGATTGCTTCAATGTCCAGTATTTCCGTCGATTAAATATTCGATATCCTGATGAAATCATTTTCTCATAAGCCAGGTTATCTACGCCGACTTCTCCAACCGCTGCTTCTTCGTCGCAATTTAGCTCAGTTAATACTGTAGTTGAAGTATTAAACCCGTGCTCTCGTAAGCATTAAATCTCATAACAGTATCCGCCTTTCAGTAAGTTACATATACCGGTAGCATATATGGGCTAGGCCCAGGACACAGAATATGAAAGTTTCTGTTTGGTATATTTTATACCTGAACGAAATGACCGGACATGGTGACGTCACAACCGTATTTAAATATTCTGTTCAGGCTCCCATACGTACAGCTTGGCTTACAACTCCACTGCGCCGTTTTCCGGCCGACAGTAAGGACAGTTGTCTCAATGAAGTTCATTTAGTTTTTCCCCACTCTCTTCATGGTCTTGCCATTCTTTTCCTATGGAGGCTGAGTGATGTGTGACGACAAGGGCACATAAAATTGTCAGTTTTAGACATCGGGACAGCTTGGCGCTGGTATATACTTCCTTAACTATATAGAAAGCATGATAAATTCCCTAACGAGCCCAATTCAGTTTTGTCCTCTTTCATCAATTTGTTTTGTGAGGAAATTAAAAAAAAAAAACAGTATCCTAATGAGAACAAAGCGCCTGTTTATGTTCTGTAAGTTTCGGAACCTTGGTGTAACGTTGCTTAGGCTCAATCGTGTGTCATGTTTATTTCTTTTTTCTAAATTTTTTAATAAAAATAAGATTTAGATAGTTGTCGGAAAAAGCCATTCTTTTCGTCAACTGCAATGGCTTCATTTGAGGTTGAGCACCATTGTTCTCAACCTCGTTTTTAATCTGTTAAACACTGCCGCTAATGTCTTCAGTAGTCGTCTTGATTAGGTTTGATTCACTATTGACAATTCTTCCATTTCTTTTAAAATGTTTTTGATGGTCATGGACACTTCTACTTCCACATGGTGGGCATCGTCTGCTTCATTAAAAGTATCAAGCCATTGTTTTTATTGGGCTGTTTTGTATCGTCGCCCTACTCTTCCTGAGGTGACTTTTTCGGTGGAGTCTATGTTATTTTTGCAAAAGTTGTCGGCCTCCGAATCGTATAATCGGAACTATTATTGTTATTCCACACCGTCTCCTCGTTCCCTACAACGCGAAAATAGCTAGGTATCCATATTCCGGAAGAAAATGTTAAATTTGAATAAATCCATTTTTCCATCTCTTTGGAACCAGATGGCTTCAATGTCCAGTATTTCTGCCGATTAAATGTTAGATATCATGATGAAATCATTTTCTCGTAAGCCAGGTTATCTGCGCCAACTTCTCCAGCCACTGCTTCTTCGTCGCAATTTAGCTCAGTTAATACTGTAGTAACCAGCGCTTTCCTCAGCAATAAATCTCATAACGGTATTCGCGCTTAAGTACATATATTATATAAGGGCCAGACGCAGGACACAAAATATGAAAGTGTCTGATTCTTATATTTCAGACCTAATTGAATCGATCCAATTACGGTGACGTCACACCTGTACTATTATTGTGAATATTTTTTCCGAACCGAGTGCGAACGACCAGAAAACGCAAAAATTGTAGACACAGCTTCGGGTTTTAACTTTTTTTTACCATGTTTTCTGTTATTTTCTAGTTTCGTGTCTTTAAAATGTCTCTATCAAACATATAATCGACTGAATAGAATAGGTTTTCATCCAAGAAGACGAAAAAATTGAACATTGATGGTATTGAATAGTATAGTCGTAAAACTACATCCCACATCCTGCTTTTGCTGTTTGAGTTCAAAAACCCTAACTAAACTGTTTTTTATATCCACAAACGCTTTCTCTCTTTCCTATACCTATCCTTTAATGACCTCCACCTTGTCTTGCATTCTTTCACTGTAAAATAAAAATACTAATATGTCAGCAGATGTCTTATTTCAGGTTATATTCGATTTCACATGACTGTAAGCATAAAGTACACTTACCCCCCATCCCCATTTCTTCGCCAACCTCCATTTATGCTTTTTTTCTTCGTTAGGTTATTTCTATACCCCATCTTGCCAACCGAACCGTTTATCGAAAAGGAATCGGAACATTTGCTGTCCTGTGTCTAGCTACCCTTCTTATCCCGACCTCGGGTAAAATTGTTTTTTCAATGAATAAAATTTATCTTTCTATGCGAGACCTTTTTGCACAATACTTCTTGGTGGATAATACAGTGGAAAGTTGGGCAATTCACACCATCATTTTAACAGGCTAACCAGTTCAGTTTTTCCCAACGTCGCCGGAGCGCCATCTGTCACAACACTTGAGTACTTTCCAAAGCCACCATGAGATAAGAAACTGTTATAAACGTCTGAACCGCTTGCTGTGCCGTGGAGTGGAACAATCCCTACTATTGCAAACACATGTTCATTTATTTTCATTACTCTTGTTGCAGCATTTTGGTGTGGAAGATGCACAGTTTCAAATTGTTTTGCCATTTTTTTTCATCAAAAGTAAGGGCCATCTTTATTGAGCACTCTTTTACAATTTCCTAACGCTTCTCCATTTTTTTGCTCGTATCAGAGAAACTTCGTCTCTTCGCCTTCTGGCCTGAAAAAGTAGTTTTCGTGCATGGATACAAATTATTTGCTTGTCCTATCTACTTCTCAAGTCAACGACTTCCCTTGCAGCTCCGTCGTATTTTTCATACTGATTTTTATGGCTTGTTTCGTAATGTCGTTTTAGATTGTATTCTTTTGGCATCGACATATCAAGCATTGTGGCCAATACCTGTCTTCCACAAACAAGTAGCCTATTTTTCATCCCATATCAAATATCGTTATAAAATAGGATTGGCAATAACCTTAGCTAGCTAGCTGGCCCGTATGTGAGTTAAACGCTGAAAATAACCACACTTTTTTGACTGTCATGATAGGCTACCGGTCCAAAAGTATAAGCAGCAAAACAAACGAAAAGATTTTTGCTAAGCTGCCTATCTAGACATGAGATAATCAATTTGACTAATTTCCCCTCCAAACTCCAACTGTCAATTCTGTACTGCAAATTATTAAAAAGAGACAATGCATAACAAAGTAGTTCTGCCACGCGATTACCTGCCTCACAGCTCAGCTCAAGGAAACGGCATAGTCTTGTGAGTTACGCCGGGCATCGTCAGCATTATAAATGCTTAAGTGACGTCATAAGGCCAAACTTGGATGCTTCTCAGGCTCTCAGCACGTTCGCCACTGCGGCCGAGAACAAGAAATTTTCGCGACGCCGGAAAGGATGGGCTAACTCCGTATAAAACCAATTGTTTATGTATACTAGCAAGTGTTACGGCGGATAGATGATGATTGATTGATCTGGGACTGAACCATCCTGTAATAGGGTATGCCATTGTTGAGTACTAAATATGATACAGTAGTTAGAACGGCCAAAACCAAAAATTTGGCATGTGTATTTTGGACCTTATATATTACCTCAAAAATGTGATTTTGGAAACGTTGAGGTCTCAACTTGTTTACCCACCTTGAAAAAGCGTGCTACACTTCAATTTAACTCATCTACCATTCTTTTTAGCACATCGACAACGGGCAGTGTAACTTGGGGAACGAACACAGCTCGAGCATGTTTACAAGGAATATGGATGAACAAAGATGGTATGTGATAATTCTGATATCTGAAATAATTCATAGTGAACGATGTAAAATATTATCATGGGGTAAATGATGTCGAATGCTGCACTCAATGCTCAGCTGTCGATCTTGACTGCGCATTACAATAAATGAAAGACATACCGAATAGCTCATTTATTCAAATAGCGTTCAGTCTCTTATGAGTGTGATCTTCTGTGAAATATTGATGTTTTGGAATCGTGTTCAAAAGAATCTTGTTCCGATAATTGCAACAAATGACGCAATGTCTGATAAATGTTGAAGAAATGTACTAACTATTACGTAAAATGTCGTATGAAGGTTGGCCGTGAAAATAGGTAAACCAGCAAAAAAGGGAAATTTCAAGCCTCGTTGGTCTTAGGGGGAAAAAAATAGCCTCTTAGCGACATCGTCAGTTGTTTAGAATGGAAATGTGTTCAATAAAAAAAATATTTTATTTTTTTTTGTCAGGATTTCCCTCCTGCTCTCTGATTAGCAAATTCAATATACACTCTGCTTATGATTATGCTGTATATTACCAAGGGAGTGGATCTGTCAAGATGAGCGAACTTCTCATCACGGATAGTCCGATTGGAATTGTACCAATTGTATACGCGTAAGAATTCTAAAATATTTATAATTAGTTATTGGTGATTTATATAAGTTGTCCGTATAAATTATCTTTACAATTTAAAAAATTTATCATTTTAGATTGTAATAAATTCCGATAACATATTTCGTTTGCTGATGTCAAACTATAATCTGAATCCTGTATAAATCCGAACCCGAATCGAACAGTTCGACCCGATCCACAAATTTAGTGGACAATCAGGCCAATCTTTTGTTTATATTGGATCAAGGCAGGATCACAGCTTGCTCAGAACTAACTCACTTAGACGGTACAAATGGCCACTGACGCAAAAAAAAATAAAAAATACAAATAATTACCTGCCAAGGCCATTATCAAACATTGATTGACGCGAAACATGATGTTATTCTAGTTAATGTCGTGATGAAATAAATTTCACATAAAAGGAATTCTCTAAAAAAATGTTCAAAAACTCAATAGCGAAAAAGTGCAACGAGTGTAAAAGATTGGGAGCTTGACAAAAATTTTCAAATATGCTGTTGAACTTTCAAACTTGAATTTAATTTTTTCAGGCCAGCATCACTAAGTCATGCCATGCAAAATAAGTACGTTCACCTTGAAAGTTCAACCATAGTGGCAGTCAGCAAAGCAGGTAATGTTTTATTGAAAAAATGTTCTGAATTGGTATTGTGAAAATTTTGATTAAACCATGATTTGGAATTCTGTTGGTATACGCCCGGTTTAAATAAGAATTGTTGCTTCGTAATTACTTATCGATCTTAAGATCGGTAAGTATGTTGATAGGTATTTGTCTGTCTGTTTGTTTGTCTGTTAGATGAACGCGATATCTCAAGAAGGCAAGGTTGAATCTGCTCCAAATTGCATGTGCATTCATCATATCGCGGACCAGAAGCATATTGATTTTGGATGAATTATGTCGTATAATTAGGAGTTATGAATTAATTAGTGATGGGACACGCGGTGTCACTATAGAGTCATGAATAGAAACCGCAGTTTTGATCAATAAGTCTTCGATCTCCGACCGATATTCTCGTATATCTCTTATCTGTGTAACAACATCCGATATCCAAATGTCGATGTTCTTCGCGTCGCGACTAATTCTGCATCGCAGATTAGTTATATCAGTTTATACCACAACATAAATCAACTACTATTTATTAAATAACATAGCCACTTTCGGAAATGAGTTTTTGCTTCTCTGTTAAGTTTAATACCAAAATTTTTACAATTTCTTTTTCACTCAGACTATTGTCCTACACTTCCCACTACAACGGACTACGTGCAAAATTCTGTGCTTGCAAGAGCAAAACCAAGAACTGGCGCTAATGACAAGGCAAGAGCGGGAGTGTTGTGGCCAATATTTATTTCTGGGCAAAATGCAGCTCCATCAAAACCATTTGTAGGATCGTTGTCTTATCCAGCAATAGGCGGCCAAACTATTTTGAAAGGTATGTTGTATTTACACGATACGAGAGACAGTTAGATTATTTAAAATTACTACTCGGTATTTGTAAGGGTGTATACTCTTTTTTTCAGATCTAACTTTTGTAAATTTCGGCGAAACGACATGCTCATCCGACCACTCTGCTATCATGACAAATCTAAAAATTGAAGATTTTCTTCATCCAATATCTGTTTCTGGTCTACATTTTGTAAATAGTCCTGAAGATTCACGACTTTTCATCCATCGGCCATCAATCGGGTGGGTATTTATTTATGTGAGGTCGCAAGATGTCGTTAAAGATGCCACACGCCAACTTCGCACCGAGTGTTATGTATAGTCAATGACGAACCAGATGGACTCCGTTCACTCCCCAAATAGAAGATTGTTACCTATGGCTATCAGTGGCTGGTGGAATATAGCCTCGATTCAAGTTGTGAAACACCCCCAAAAATATTCAAAACTAACATTTTAGAGTGATCAAAATATCTTTCGATTTCTTTTAATAGTTTAGTTTATAGTTTGGTCTCACGAATTTCAGTTTTAAATGATCATTTCTTAATTTTTTATATTAAGAGCCATAAACCCATCTGATTGCGTTGATATGGAGTGTGATGGAATGAAGAAAGCTCTCATTAAAGATACAGATGGTTCATTACTTGGATCACCAGGTTCTGCTATTCCACAGGTGCGGTTTGTATTTAATCATAAAGATTTTGAGTATTTGAATGTATCCACGCATACCGAACTCTAGCCCTGCCACCGAATCTGACCCTGAGAATTTTGTGGTTAGTTACATCTGAAAACGTACTGATTCTAATCGTTAAGAGACCCATACTTTCATTCAACCAAACTAATTTAAAGACATACCTAACAAACTAATTTTGAAGATATGAATCGAAATTTCGAATATAGAAAGATCATTTTCTGTAGAGATACGATGAGAAAAACTGCGGCTAATATAGGAACAATACAAATATAGAATAAATTAATTTCATGTTCTGTAATCTTCCACCATTAAAAAAATCTAGTCCATACCATAAGTCAATATACACATGTTAAGGACCAAAAATCCAAACAAAATGGTAATTTGTTCTCAACAGGCAATAAGAAATTCCTATTACAGCCAATTTTGCCAAAGATTTTCATTTATTTTTCATCACTTCAATAGGCTGAGTACGAATGGGATGGTGACCCACGACGAGGTCTTGGTGATTATAGAATTCCAAAGACTATGTTAACAAAGTCGGACGGCAGCAGAATACCTGTTGATGAAATCGTACCCAACAAAGGAATTTTAAGGTTAAAACAACTTCTGATAGACTTTCACAGAACTTTTTGCTTTTATTGCCACATTCGTGCCCTTGTGAATTACTAAAAAAAGGTTATTCTTTGAATGTAAATGTTGCTCTTTTGCTTCGGGTAACATCAAGCTTCAAATTAGTAGTTGTTCGTGCAGAAGCAGTATTTCCAATCATAACATATTCCCATTCCACAGAGCTAATACAAGTGATGCAACCTGTACATTGAATCAGCGATGGCAAGCGTGGAAATGTCTAGGATACAAACATGGAATTTTAGTTATTGAAAGTTTAGATGACGACACAGAGACACGAAGACTTTCACCTGTCGGACTAATGTCAAACAGCTATATTGATTTAAATAACGGTAATTGCAATCTCTGCATATATTATATTAAAGAAACGATGTCCCAATTGAAGAGGACATCGTTTCTTTAACATACGGATCATCACCATTGGTGCATAATTGGTTTACAAGACGATAAATGATTTGCAACCTTCGACAAATATTTTTCAAAATTACGCTGGTGCTACGATATTGGAAATGCATATAATTTGTTATACAATTTCCTAACATTTTCTATTTTGTTTCTAGGACCACAAGATCATGGTTGGTGTGCTGGATACACTTGCCAAGAAAGATTATCGACATTCTGGACAATTGTTGCGTTTGAGAAAACATACGAAATGCATTTCTCAGGTGAACACTTTTGATTGTTGTATTATTTCATACTTGCTTTAAATGTTTTTATTTAAGGAGTTGCGTGCAAAAGAAATAGCATCAAATCTGATAATACTACAATGTGAATGTTGACGAAAAATCGCTTAAAATAAGCGTTTTTTCAATGTGGCCATATATTTCAAAATTCCAAGTTTGTTTAACAATACGAAAAAACAAATTTTAATTTATCCCGTTTTTCCCGTTTATTTCCGTTCAACGGAAATAAAACTTCTATATGTTCTAAAAAAGTATAAATATTTAGTTTCAAAGATTTGACCTTGTTCCACACATTACATTGTATATAGGGCCTTTCATGCAGACCACAATAAAGGCTTATCCCAACTAATTCTAATAGTGCATGCCAATTAAAAATCAAGTTTATTTTTCAAATTGGTGATATCATCTTAATTTGTATTCTTAGGAACCAACCCTCAAAAACTCAAATTAAGAATGTTAAATGAAGAAGCCACCACAAAAATGGTTATGAAAATATTTTACACAAGACCACAAAGACTGGATATTTATGTCGATAATAAATATGTAAAATCGACGAACTCTCGTACGAATGAAAATGGTAAGAGAATAGACGACACAAGAGGTTTGAATTAATTTCAAGTTGACTAGTTGGCAAGTCTCATCCACCATTTTAGTATTTTAATTTTTATCTTGAACAAACTATAAAATTATGTATATTTGCCTCAGGTCATCATAATGAATAGTTCAAATCTTGCATTACATTTTTACTAATTTTATTTTATATCGTTACGCGTGGCGAAAGTCAGACATCTCAACAATGATGTTCGCGTATTTAGTAATTTGTACGTTGCTTTAGAATGAATAAATAGGCTTGCTTTTAGTTAATTAACACTGCACTGGTAGAAAGTTTTGCAGTGTTTTAATCATCCTTCTCGCGATTCCGAACACGTTCACCACGATTTTGCTGCAGAAGTGAAAGTCGGTTGAAATGGGTGATTGACTGGGGGTTAGAACGCTATGATGTCATTGTATTGGTATCGCCGGTTAAACCGTAAAATTGAACCCCACGCCATTATTATCCCACATTCATTAATTTGGTTTTAATTAGATTTAGCAGAGATTGGCTGGTGTTAGAGAGCTCTAATCGTAGTAAAAGTTTAGGAATTTCTCATAAAAATAAATACACAAAATAGACTTCTAAAATAACTTTAATTTTTTCAGGTCAGGACGTCCTTGCTCCGCCGCCCGTTGATAGTCCAGCCATCTTCAAACCGAATATTACAAACGATGTCGGAACAAATTATTTTGACAGAGCAGCAAAAATTATTCATATTACGTTGTCTGGAGAAACACCCGTATTGGTTAAAGAAGCGGAAGTTGTTGTTATCACCTTCAATCTTCCTGCTGTATCTCCTGATGAATTCTTCGACAATGGGAAATTGATTCAGAATCTGGCACTGTTTTTAGATGTAAGATGTTTCGTCATTTCATTTTGTGATATGACTATCAGGACGGCTAATATCAAATCTGTTTGCTTCATTACAGATCCCAGAAAGCAAAATTAGACTTGTTAACGCTGTGCGTGAAGGATCAACATCAGGTAGAAAACGACGAGCCGTTGAAAGTTACAGCGTAAGTAAAGATAATTGAATAGAATAAGATTTTCATATTTATTCCGGGAGAGTAAAATTTTAAGACAACTAAATCATATGACGAATGAAGATCTCCCGTTCGGTTACCAGTCAATGTCGATGAGAATACTCAACGAGTTATTCATTTTGAATGTGTAAAATCAATGGTGCAATAAGTCGTAACCGATCAGCGGTCACTTAGGACACTGACGGCGATAAATCCAGCAACCCTCTAGCACACAATAAACCCTCATAGGATATGAACACACGATCATCAATGACTGCGTGGGAAGCGTGTTCGTATATTTAAACATGAAGCGCCGATCGTCAAGCATCCTAAAGTTTGTCTCATGAAACTAGAATCAAATTATATCTAGTTAACGTTAGATTTTTTGGCTTTTAAACCCCGATTATTTTTGACATGTAGTGTTTGCACAGAAATCTTGACATGTCTGTAGACCAGAGGTCGGCAACCTTTTGAGCTCGGCGTGCCAGTTTATGAATATTGAGCACCTTCGCGTGCCAAACATTTTCATGTGTATGTTTGCATACCCAACTACCTGATTTGAATAGTAAGCGGATAAGAAACAAATTCATGTTATTGGATAACGTGCATGGAAACTAGCTTACGAGAGATTTTGGTATACGGCATTTCTACATCCGACCTGTCTTTGGACGACCCAAGTAATAGGTATTAATTAGGGCCACTCGCGATTAGTTTTGTAGCCAGAAACAATGAAATCGCTATAAATACTAAAGAAGATAAAATTTATTTTGGTACTCCCGTAGTATGTGCACCATGATGGCGAACACCGGAACGTAGTATGTGTACAAGGTTAGGGTTAGGCCATAATTTCAGGTACAAATACTACAGGAGTCATTTGGCTAGTCCCCAAACTCGTAATAGAACTGAAATAAGAAAAATTGGAATAAAATTATGCCCTAACCCAAACATGGTACACATTCTACGTTCCGATGTCCGCCATCTTGGTGCACATACTACGGAGCGCCTTTATTTCATCGTTTTTGTTAGGGTTACATGTAGCTCACGGTGAAATGATGAAAATCAGCCAGGCGCGCAGTCAGAACTTTCGAAAAGGGGTTTCTATTCCGCTATGAAACAGTCGCCGCGATTACGCGCTCGTTAAAAAAGCCGAGTTTTTTCAGCGTATACCAACTTTTCTCTCCAGTAAAATATTCATTTCATGACAGCTAAGAGAATCTAAAACTTTTTTCTATATTGATATAATTTTGTGTCCAACGTAACTCGCGGTTACGTCTTCTTGCGTCAAAATATAAACATTATTAGTCTGAAATACCACTCAATCTTTTGATGTAAAAATATGAGATAAACATGCCTAATGGATAATTGTATTTAGTTTCGATTGATTGTATAATAACTCTTAGCGAATTTCAATTCTGGGCAAAAATAAAATAATTATTATCGTTGTCGTAAAATAATTGTTGTGATTCAGGGAGAATAAACACCAACTAAAAGTGTTTACGACCTAAATAACACGTCACGCTGATAAAAACAATCAGGAATTTTAGCAAAAAGCAATCGCACGCGGTATTTGCGACTTTTTCAGTTTTCCAAAAATTTGCACACGCTCATCTACACCGATATGGGGTACAGATTTCGGCCTCTCGTCGATTGCAGTTAAATATTGCATGTTTTTTCAATGAATTTGTCGATTTGTTATGTTTTTGTTCAATTGTAGAATGTTTGTCGCACTACGAAAATAATATTTGAATATGGCTCAAATCGATTGGCGTGCCATGAGAAATCCTCTCGCGTGCCACAATTGGCACGCGTGCCAGGGGTTGCCGACCTCTGCTGTAGACTATCGTTTTTAATATTCATACATATGTTTTTTATGTAACAGGCAACTGTTGAAATTGGAGACCCACCTGCAGCCACTGTTGAAGAATCGACGTCAACATCAAACGAATCCACAACAGCAGCACCGGTACTTTAATACATCAGTTGATATAAATATTGAAATACGATGTTCGGTAAATTCGCACACAAAAATTTCACCCATGATATTCTGAAACATTTCTAAGAAATGAGATATTATAAAAAGAATCGAATACTTTTAATTTCGGAATCGGAATTTTGTCTGAGGTTGACATAAAACTCCTACAACACCTGCACCAGTTTATCATGTTTGTTATGTATTTAATAATATTGAATTTTCAATATTCTAATAGTATATGGTCCAGCTATTTTAGTTAAAGCTGCTATTATGGTTTAAAGTTTGTTAATTTTCTCACAGGGTACAGGTGGAACAACGCCAGCATCAATATCACTAGAGGTATGCGCTTAAGGTTTCCAACTTTCTAGCATATAATTTTTATTACCGGGCCAGCAAAAAAATACTCGTGCAATCATAATGCGAGCCTTAATTAATATCATATAGCTTTATTCCCCTTTTTTCCAGATATTAGTCAAAATGAAAACGGGGATGGATAAACTATTTAGGTTGGCAGTTGAATTACTTCGTAGAAATCGAACGTGGCTTCAATATAAACAGCATGTTCCATGTTTGAGACAGATACAGTCGTACTTGTACCATCATATTGTATATTCATTAAATTGTATATTCATTTCACACAGGATCTTGCCAGAACCACGTCTTCAATTACCAATGCATTGCAACAAGGAACGTTAGCAAAAGCTCTTGAAACCGAAGTTGATTCGTTGAGTGTTGTAGATCCAAGAGAACCACCCGTGGTATGTAAATACTTTCGGTAGAAATACTTAATGAGAGCTTCCTTGTTAACTACATACAAATGATTCTGTTTTCTATGTTATTCAGCGAAACGCGAATATTACTAACACAACAGATACTGACGAAGATCAAACAATCGGTTACTTTGTGCCCGCGGGATTAAAGGTTGTTCAGCAACCTGCAGGTGGAAACGCGGAATCAGTGATGTTACCGACACTGCAGGTAGTTTAATAAATAATATAGTAACTTAAAAAAAATGAAATAAAGTTAGGTCATTATCATTACACCGCAATGTTATTTTCTTCATTTAGTCATATTTATTTGGCGCCTAAAACCTTGTCGATAATAGGCTATGGCCAAATCAGCTGGTACACAAACTACCGCACCCCAAATGAATGCACCGAAACTACCCATATATCATAGATTCTATATTTTTAATTTGGTTTTGATAAATCATAAACATTACCATTCAATAGGTTACTGGTATTGACAATGCTGGTAATAATATTGTGCTGGGACATAAAGGGGACCAATGGCAAGCAACAGTAACAATACAGAGTGGAGATACCACTGCAAAATTATCTGGGACGACGATAGCTAAGTTTGATAAAGGGATTGCATCGTTTGAAAGTAAGTCTAATTGATGTAAAATTCGAAATTTCCGAAGTGAGCCATCCCGGAATAGTCTGATACAGATTGTTTTCTATTTGAGGAGGCAAATGTCTGAATGTCATTCATGCTTACAGTAAATTCATTTTTATTTTTCTCAGATCTGACCATTTCACTAGCTGGTTCATTTGTATTAAAAATCACTGTAACTTATCCTATTGGACAAACGGCGCTAAATGCTGTAACTGATCCATTCACGGTAAGTTGATTACTTGAGAGTCTATTTTCGATACGTTTTTTTAGTTTGCAAATTTGTACGAAATTACGATCATCATCTGAGAAGTGCAGATCGAATGCACCCACCCAAAGTGAAGTTGTCGTGTTTTCATTTCCTCAAAGAACATTGTCTCCTTCATAATTAATCTGTGAACCGTTAGTTGAAATCAACCAGTAAAATGCCGTCCTCGGAATAGTAATTAGCTCACATTCAGTCCGTGGAACCTTACGGAGAAGTTGATTGCCGGACGAAATGGCATAATATTCTATGGAATTATTTCGTAACAATTATGTGAATCCCATTGCCGGGACAGTTACAAAATATATGTAAACATGCAGTTGAATTGTGGTGATGCCAAATTTTGCAATATTTCGAAACTAAATACCATTCAAAAAACATAAAATTATCATTTGACAGCTTTCTGAAGCCATTGTGACGACGAAGCAAACCCCAACCACAGTCAAAGTTGACCCTGTACCACCACCTGTCAGCAACTTGGCAGTGATAATCGCCTGTTCTGTAGTTGGAGGACTTTTACTGATCGCGGTCATTGTGATTATCGTGTTGAAAGGACCTTGTTCGAGTAAGTCATTGTGAATTGTAGCGGATTGGGTATTTGATCTTTGTTTGCTGTGCTTGACTTATCTCTTTTTTCGCAAAAAAGTTCTCTTCTTTTATTCGAGTCTTTCTCTCGTGATTCGCCCAAGTTTTGTCTCCTTTATTGTTTCTACTTGCTGTAAAAATAAGAAACGCGAAACTCTACATTTTCCTTGGCAATGCCAGTAAACCCACTAGAAATTGTCTAGTTTTTAACTCGTAGTTTTTCTCTGGTTGAGTAGCTCGTGCAAAAGTTTAAAAGCCTTCTCCCATTCCTAATTATTTTCACTAAATTATAAAAACACATGTTAAATTTCCCTTCACAACTGATGTAAATTCACCAGGAATTTTCAGAATGCAAATAATATTTGTTTGATTTTGCCAATATTCTAAAAACTAATCATATTAGCTATTGATGGGTTCTATGCTTTTGGGGCACCTGTACTTACTTGTTTCCCTGCTTCACCCCGAGCAGAGATCTGACAAAATGCCTCGGAGAGGCCGGTTGGACAATAGACAACTCAAATGTGTGTATGGCTTTTTTAGTTCCACTAGTTTAGTTGGTGTTGAGTGTTTTTTTACTTCACTTTTGCACGTTGTATGCAAAATTTAGATAAGCGTGGTAATCACAAGATATCGCATGCTGATGACGTAGCAATGAGACAATATCCTACAGGTACTTACACCAAGAACGCTTCTTCACCTGCACCATATTCTCAATCTTCTGCACAACCGTCGCCAACAAGGTCGACTGAGCTTTCTAACATAGATTTTGAACATGAAGGTATAACCATTGCCAATATTTTTATCTTTACTTTTTAAAGTTTCTCATATGTGATACGATATTCACTCAATGTTTTGCTTTTTTATTTTGATTCGTGGGGACACTGATTTTATTCCGGCAAATGCAACCCCTCTCGTCAAGGCTGTGCTCAGCATATTTTCGTGTGAGTCGCTAAAGCGATCAGTACCGTGATTTCTTCAAATATGAAGTATCCACTAGAAAAAGTCAAAAAAGGCGACTTGATTATAATGTTAACCACGTCATCTCAGTATTATTACAGGCTATTAATATCCAACCGTTTTGCAACTAAATCTGTATTTTTGAATTTATTTATACGACACTTACCCGCGCTTTTCATTCTGAAAAACAAGTCAATTTGTTGAAGTACGGTATTTGACAGCACTTGTATAAGTCATTAATATCTAACGATATGCAAGAGTCACTATTTTCATGAGTACCCCTACTCCCCCCGTTTCGGCGTTGGCTACCAAATTGATCATACCGTTGGCGGTGGGTATGGGACTTGAACATGATATGTGCGATGCCAACTCAGTTATGTTTAACACTGCGGGCCATCTCGCCACGAAATTTCCTTTAATTTACAAATAAATGATTTTTATCTGTTTCAGAATCCCAGCATCCGCACTCTGTCATCGACGATACAAAATCGCGACCTCCATCTTACAAAAAATCACCAAACCCTTATGATAACGTTAATTGAAGATTGTCAGCAAAGTTTAATTTCAATTTGGACTTTTCAGTTTATTATTTTATAGTTCATAGATCAAGCATAGCTCTCCAATAATACGATTTTCCAAGCAAGATCTAAAGATGGCCTCCGATACTTTCGGTATACCTAGTTCGCTATTTCCTAGTTGAGAAATTCTTTTAATAAAAAGAAATAATACTTCAATGAACAACGTACATTTTTATATTTTTGCACTGCATTAAATAATCAAAAAAAAAAACGTAGTTTGGTGTCTGTTCCCTTTAACATAGTGATTCAATGTTTTTGTTGTGGTATGATTACCGATATAAATCAGTAAAATTAATTGCTTTTTTGAGTAAATCTAGTCGCCTACCTAAATATTGGGAATCCAACATCTTTTCAATTCTGCGTAAAATATTGACAATTTACTCACAAAAAATTCCAGTTGAAATATTTCAGTTTTATCCCAATATTTTTGATCTCGGTAAAGTTTGAAGGGAACAACGCAGTATTTTCTCACAAAATCACTGTTTTACTTGAATTTCATTTTGTAGAAGATCCTTATTTCTTTACTGTTTTTGAGTTTGAAAATTTCAATTCATGAAAACTCAAATCGTAAACACTATTAGTTGTACTTTCAACACATAACATTAGACATAGATAGATAGATCTCAGATTGTGAGTGTCTTGAAACGTACTTGGTCAGTATTTAAGACTTGAATATTCAGTATTTATAAAACTGATTTCTGCTGTGTATACTAATTATGGAGCAATATTGATTTTTTATTTTGAATTATATGAAATAAAATAAAAAATGTTTCTATCATCAACGGAAATTAACAAAAAATTTCAACAAAAATTGCTTATTTTGAAGAACTTTCATTTGATTATACGTCCCACTAGCAATATTTCTTGACTCATTTTTTCATGTTCATTTTTTTCTATAAATAGATGGAAAGTTCAAACTTGTGTGAAGTAATATTATATATTGCATTGTTTTTTCGATGAGTTCCAGCATATGTTCCACTGTTTTATTCATTATATTATGTTCGTTAAGTACTATTTTTCTGTCCCTTCATGCAGCATTTACCAGCATGTTTATCCCGGTACGCTTACAAAAATAAAATTAGTTTTTATTTTGTTTAACAAATCGGATCATCTGTGAATTGGAAATAGGTATCTGTTCTTTATATTTCATGAAAAAAAAACAAAAAAAAACGGGTTACTATAATATTTAACCAGTAATTGTCATTTCTCATAATATATGCATAGATCAAATCTTGATCTAATGATTCATTTTTGATTAATTGGTGATATAGACGACGAAATTGTATTGCGACCCTCAAGAACTGAAGCGAAAAATAAGTAAAATTTAATAATACAGAAAACATTGAAGATCAATATTGAAATTGACGATACCTTTGATGAAATCGATGTGCTTGCATATTCTCGCTGAAAAGATCGAATTTTGGCTTTATTTCGGTATTGGTTCCTAAATTTCTTTCAAATTTGATCAATATTTTGTACCAACATAAGTTAGTGCTGAAAAAATTTAAACGTGGTCGGGAACGCCATTTTGAAGTGCCCCGATATAGAGCATACTGTAATAAATCCCCTCAACCTTGGAGTACTCACTAAATATTCACTGGTAGAGTTGAAACTGCACTTTCTATCAGATATAAATGCACTTATTTCAAAGAATCATTCATTAGTTGGTAATTAAATTCATTCTTATATTGCAAACGATGGTGTTCGATGTTCGTTCAATCACTTAATCGGGGAATGAGAGAAGGTAATAAAACACGGTTTGAGAGCGCGGTAATCGTGTCAGCGTATCGTTTTGTCATTCGATTTGTGTATATCCAGGCGAACTGATAGTTTTTTCAAGTGAAAAGAGACTTTATGGACGCAGTATTCATCCTTATATTGCAAACGTTGGTGTTCGTTCGATCACTTAATCGGGGAATGAGAGAAGGAATATAAAACACGGTTTGAAAGCGCGGTAATCGTGTCATCGTTTTGTCATTTGATTTGTGTACGTATATACAGGTGAACCGATAGTTTTTTCAAGTGAAAAGAGACTTTATGGACATCTTGTACAATAAGTGACGGTAAATACTGCATTTCTGATATTCACGTTTCAGAAATTTCGAAAGGAAGTAAAGTTTCAACTATTGAAAGAGAGTTTGGGAATAAACTTCGTTTTTCGTTCTTAAAGTGGAGAGAGAGAGATTTATTTTTTCGTCAACCAAAATAAAATAACAGTCATCGTAATAATAAAATTAATAATAGGTAATAAATTAGTTTAGCATAGACAGGAGGGAGTGATACGACGGTCATCAAAGTCAACTTCCCCCCGAAAAAATACCCAAAATGTACCTTTTTTTCCAAAGTTACAGAAGCGTCGGTCTACTTTTCATATAACTTTTTATATTAAAAACACTCGAACCAAGGCGCTGCACAAGACGCCGCTGCTATCATTTGCAGTAAATTCACATTATTTATATCAATACCAATGCAACGCGTAAAAAAGCACACCCGAGTTATATCATTTGCTAGTATTGCAATAGACCAGTGTATTTATTAAATTATTTGTGAATAATACTTTATTTTGCATAAATGAGTAATTCAAAATTGTGTTTCATTATTGACCAATATCAAACATCAATTAAAAAAAAATTGAGGCAAACGTGAATCAGTTGTATTTTATATAATCTTTTTTATAATCATTTCCTGGGTGAACACATCTGTGAATGTAATAAGAAATAATAAAATAAAAAAATCACATCAACTCTACATTACGCGGGCGATCTTAAGGACCATGTACATACCACATCAATCTTTACCTCCAGACGAAGTCAAATTATTGAATAAACTATATTTTTAAGATGTGACAACTGTATTGATAATTGATCAATCTTTTTGGTATGATATTTGTAAAATAATCAAAGTATAAATCATTTCATATAGCACTCAAATACTTTTGTCATTATTATGACTTATGACAATTGATACACGTCATGACAATGACGCCATATGTTTACTAAGCAACTCATAATTTTTCAAAAATCAAATTAGGTTATACAATAAAGTTGATAAATAGATGGTTGCAACTTATTACAAAATTCACAAAAAAAACAAATTAAGTCATATATTGAAAAATGTAGTTATGTTCACTTTTGAATCACTCTGTTCTACCTAAAAAAATATTATGATTCACTCATAATTATATCAGAAATAAATGCTATATATATCTGAAATAAAGAATGGGCTCAATAAAACTCACTACAGTTTGTCGTTTCCTTGGTACGTTCCAATACAAAAATTGGATTTTCATACTAGCACTAAACCATTAATATTGTTACAGAACTAGTTACGTTTTGAATATTGCGAGTTTAGAGGTAATCTATTTTTCTTACTAAAATATTATAGAAATATTTATTAATACTAACTGAGGCATCATTGCCAAGGGTATTGAAATGGAAAAATTGTGCCTCTTCGTCATATTTTTGAATTTGCTCGACTCGACCATTTGCAGACCTCAATCGACCAATGTCATAGACAGCAAGTTTGTTGACGCTGCATTTGTGCAATGGAAGAATGAATACAACAAGTTGTATGCTTCAGAAAATGTGAGTTCTATATAGAAGATACTTTTACCATGAGAAATATTTTACAAAATTAAACTGGCTTTTAACAATATGTATATATTCGAAATAATCAGCGTGTTACTGTCATTCTAAAGTATAAGTATGAAATTCAACCGCAATTTTATTTCGAATATTGTATATATTTTTTGACAATTTAGTGTTTACAATTGCTTTTAACAGGTTATTTGATTCACTTTCAAATATACTTATAATCCTGTGAAAATAAAGGCAGTTATTAATAGTCGATTATTTTCAATCTGCGGTGCCTAATTTATTTTACTTATTCTTGGGAACTTGAAAATTCTTTGTAATTTTTTATTCTGCGAAGAATTTTTACATTTTTCCCACTTTACTACATTTGAATAGGAAGAAAATCTAAGGAAAAAAATTTGGGAACAAAATTTGAAGTACGTGAATGAACAAAACGAAAAACATCAACAAGGAATTTCATCTTTTGAAGTCCACTTGAACAAGTTTGCAGATCTTGTAAGCATATTGAATATTAGTGAAATCATGTTACATAATACTCTAGGCCAGACATGGGCAAAGTATGGGCCTCGAGCTAAATCAAGCCCATTGGGTAATTCAATCTGGCTCGCCTGATGCTGCCACAACCAAACTGAAAACAAATTTTTATGTGTTTGCTGAAAATAGCTCAAAGAATATGTTGAGATTGCGGTTAAATTTAGTTTGGGCACGAGGCTTATTGTTTTCCACCTTTGCTTTGTAACACTGTAAATATTGTTCATGAAATGTAACTTCTTACGTCACACTTACATGGCCCGCCAGACTAGGTGAGTAAAATTTTTGGCCCCTGGTACAAAACCCTGTTCACCCCAGGTCTAGACTATTGTAATAAGCCACCTATCCATTTCACATAAATCACATCTGTCGACAATTTCAGCCTCTACAACTGATAGGTTTTACCAAACTTCTTTCATTTTTGGTTGGTAGTTTAGGGCTTAGGCTGTTGGGTTAGGTTTTATAGGTAAATAGTACTTAGTTATCTGGTGTAGGAAAAACACTTTCCTTCAACTGAAGCGAGTTAAATTGATGAGTTATTTTAAATTTTGTGCATTTTAAATATTAATTGCGGAAATGACAAGGATTATAAATTAATAAAATAAAACTTGTATATCCATATATACTAATTCATTTTTGCATTTTTATTACAGGATATTGCGGAATTCAATGACATTTACAACAAAGCCACTCTGCATGAACGGTCTCATCACCAATCAAACAGAATGTATGTCAGCAAAGGTTCAGTACCGGATTCCATCGATTGGCGCGAACGCGGCTACGTAACTTCGGTTAAAAATCAGGTTATTTTAACACTTACAGTTTTAAACATTAGTTTGATGTTGCCGGCAATCTGAAAATTATTTTCATTTCATTTGTCATTCATTATATACATCCTACTTTTCAAAGATTATCAGTAAATTATTCAGCTGAATCACATTCAACTTGCCATCATGAAATTGATTGATGACAGATGCATGTCACGTTACCACAAATTTTACATTTTATTTAAATTTGAGAAACATTTATCTTACACTGCAACAGAAACGATGCGGATCTTGTTGGGCATTTGCAGCAGCTGGAGCACTCGAGGGACAACACAAAAATAGGACAGGTAGGTGTAGGACAGTCAGCAAGATGAACGGTTTCCGCATTCAAAAAATCCATAATATCTATATATTTTGATTCCAATTCCTTGTCATTGGATACGTACCTTTGTTTTGCCCAATTGTTGTTGTTGAGCAATCGATTAAAAATATTCTGTACTTAAAGATGAATCAAGTCGCTAGGAGGGTATAACTTATATATATTCCTTTTTTCAAATTTTCTACCAGTTTTACGCGCCCGATGTTACGCTTCAAATTTTGTTGGTATGCACAAGCGCACTGTTGTATGACATTTGATGCATTACTCACAAGTAGGGTTGCCTACCGTCCTTTATTTCAAAGGACAATCCTTTATTTGAGATTTTTGTCGTTGTCCTTTTCAGGATGATAATTGTCCTTTATTTTTTCCAATATCGATAGTTATAGTGCTGTGTTTGATACTGTTCCGTTCTTAAATCGCTTCCGTTTATTTGAAGCTTTTAATTATTCCTTTTAATTTCGTATTGGTCCGGCTCAAATAGCCAAAGAAATACGAATTTTATAAACATTTCAAATAATTGACATTAATTTTCCGAAGATGGCGAGTGGTAACACTTCAAGATTTGAGTAAATTCTAGTTCGATATCTGAAAATTCCGTTATTTTTTGGCATTCAAACTAATCCTTCAAATCACAAAAACATGAAAATGTTTCCAGTGTTCAGTATCTTAGCTTGGAACATGGCACAGTTACTTATATTATTGATTTCGACAGTGACCCACAATTGCTGAAGTCAGCAAAGAGTCCTAACATATATAACTTTAACAATGATAAAATTATGCAACTGGAAATTTAGAGCTTGATTGGGTCAGTGTTAAATAAACATTAAATGAAAAACACATGAAGATTTTTTAATAATTCTTTTTAGCTTGTATATAAAATTTGTATTTCATTGTTTTATATTGTTCTTTCCTGCAAGTTACAAAATAAATGATGACGGTAATCTATGTCCTTTATTGGGACTTTTCATAGTTGGCATCCCTACTCAAAAGTCATTCTACTTTCGCGTCTATGTAGACGATTTTGTAGGCAAATTACGGCCCGCGGGCATCTGAAAATTATGGCCATAGTTTTTATAGATATAAATTTCCGTTGAAAACATCATTGAAAGACATGTCATAGTGACCCTGATTGTTACATTGTGTTTCTTATCATTATATAAAATAAACGTTAGCCTAGCTGTTGTAAATGAACTGTTTTTTATTCAGTTTTTCATATTGAGTTTTGAGCCTGCGCCCAGTAACCAAGTCTATTATCTGTAACATATTATATAAGTAATTGCCCATCCCTGATGTAGACGTTCGCATTCTTCTCTTCTTTTAGGCATTCTAGTCGATATCAGTGTCCAGAATCTTGTAGATTGTTGTGTAGGAGATGAAGGTAACTATGGATGTAATGGCGGATCAATAATGACTGCCTACGATTGTGTCCGGAGAGAGATGGGAATTGACAGCGATAAAAATTATCCTTACCGTGCAAAGGTACTCCTAATGTAATTATCAAAAGATAGATCAAACAACATTTTAACAACACCAAAAACAAGTGATACCACTCAAAACTAAGTTTTTTAACCTAATACTACGCATTGGGCAAAATAAAGCGAAGCTGAAGTATAGTAACAAAAATGGTTAACCTACTACTGTATGAATTGCTTAATTTTTATTTTGAGTCTACGAGCACCAAGTGAGTATAATTTTTAGTATTTTATTTTAGATTCATATCCAAAACGAGCCAGTATAGAAGGTTGTAAGAATAATGTGTTTCGGGCATATTTAAGAATATCTCGCTACTTTCAAAGATGTTCAGCTAGTTGTTCTAATATTAATTTCCATCTCAAATGCTCATTCTTGTAGAAAGGCAATTGATTTTAATCGTTCTGAATAAAATGAATGATTGATTGTATGTTTATCAGCAAAGTGATCAGTGTCACTACGATCCTAACAACAATGTCCAAATGGATTACGGTTCCGAATGGATTCAGCAAGGGAACGAAAATGCACTGAAAGACGCCGTTGCAACAGTTGGTCCGATATCTGTGGCGATAGATGCTGGACATTACTCGTTTATGCTGTATAAAACAGGTGAAAGGATATGGCTATGATAAATGCAAAAAATTGTAGCTGACGACAATTTTAAACTATTATAAAGTGATATTTTCGTATGCAGGTATTCTGGATGAACCGAACTGCAGCACGACGTATGTGAACCATGGAGTTCTTGTCGTTGGTTACGGCAGCGAAGATGGACATGACTACTGGATTGTCAAAAACAGGTAAACTAAATAAAGAAAGGTACTCCCGAAGTATGTGAACCAAGATGGCGGACACTGGAACATAGTATGTGTACCAGGTTAAGATTAGGCCATAATTTTATTCCAATTTTCTTTATTTTAGTTTTATTACGAGTTCGGGGACTAGTCAAGTGACTCCTGTAGCATTTGTACCGGAAATTATGGCCTAACCCTAAGCTGGTACACATACTACGTTCCGGTGTCCGCCATCTTGGTTCACATACTTCGGGAGTGTCTAAATAAATACTGATATTAGTCCAACTAATATAGTATCAGACAAAGCACAAAGCAAAAGAATACAATTATGCTATATATTATGCTTTTTTTATGAAAAACTTCACACTTCGTTCTGAAAGACTGTTGTCATAAAAAATCTGTACCGGCAGTTTACGAGATTAAGGCAGCTACTGCCGTTCGCGATTATAGGATTGTTTCAGTTTCCAAATATCCCATCTCAGTTAATGTAACTCGGATGCTGGAGTTGACGATTATTCGAATCGGTGATACTGCTACACTTAGAAATATTCGCGGGTTAACAGTCAATATACATGTGACTTTCTGTCGGACTGGCAAACCTATGGACAAAATACTTTCTTTGCAATAGTACAATATATATACCTTTATATTGCTTGAATGTTCATCGAAAGAACCAATAGTTTTAGCTCTATAAAAGAATAGACTACAGTGAATTATTAGTTTTGTAGGCAGGGAAATATTAGCCATGCTATTTACTCTTTTTACAGTTATAGCAAATACTGGGGAGACAAGGGATACCTTTTGATGTCGAGAAACAAAGGAAACCAATGTGCAATTGCAACTGATGCCAGCTTCCCAATTATTAGCGACTGAAAGCAAAAAGAAATATTGTTTTATTAACATACAAAAACATCTAACATTAATATATATCATATTAAAGATTCAGTGCTAAACTGATGCACGTTCATGTTTTCCAATTTATGTATATTTTTCCTCTAAAATCAATTGTATATTGTGAAAAACACATTATATTAGTGCTGTTAAAATCGATCTTTTGATTCGGAAAAGGCTTTAATATTTCTTCCTGGCATGTTGAAATATAGCAAATAAAATGAGAGCTTTGCTCGTTGCTTTTAAGCTGGGAATCTGTAATGATTCTAAGCATAACTCGTATTTTGAACACAAGGGAAAGTGGTGAACTTAGGAGTGCTTTAGACTTCGAGTAGCGAGTGCTAACGACAATAGAAACCACGTTGGTAACATTTTACGTAAAGAATATAATCAACTCCTCAAGCGTTGATTATAAGAAGTATTCATCGCCAAAACAGCCGTTTTTTCGTCATAATTCAGTGAAGCATCGCGGGGCGGATTATTTTACTACGCGGGCCGTAGGTTGACGACCGATCCCTGATTTGAGGCATCCGGCTACTCTTATTAGGGTTAGGATACAATTAAGTCATCTATACTTGGGAAGAGGAACCCGCCGATACGACGGCTTGATCATTTGGCGAACCACCGCATCTCGTCCTATTACCAGCCCATGTCGAGTACGGAATTAGTTAGCCAGTTTTTAAATGCATGGACTTGATGGTGGATGAAGCCGTAACTGACCAGCGGTTACGTGAACCACGTCACGACGGAGAAGAGTCCAGCAATCCTCTCGCACATAACTACCCCACACGGATTCGCACCTGCGAAACCACAAAGGGTAACCAGAGGTGCGGCAAGCCGGGGGATCGGTTGGATATGCCGATTTTGTCATAATTCGATCGCGTAACTAATCGCCAATTTACCCACTCTCGCAGTGCAGCATTTTACGACTTAAACGTCCCAAAATACCAGTGTGGAAGCCCAATACGACGACGGTCTGCCGTACCGCGCAGTTCTGTATACAAACCAGACACCAAACATTCTAAGAATTAACACACATTTCGATGCTTTCATCATTAAGCATTTTAATACAAAACAATAATACGATTGTCACATTATTTATCATCACCAACGTATTATATTAGTAATCAATGTAAGGAATATTAGTAGTTGCACAAAATAAAATGCATATTAGTTGGCAAAAAGGGGAACCGAAACATATGTATGCAAATAAAGCACCAGATATACGTAATCAACGCTCAAGGCAGGTAGGATCGGATCGGAGAAAAGCTAACATGAGGCAAATCCAACCTGGCGAGGAACTTTTTACTTTTCACGTTTGGACAAGCATGATGAGATACCGGAGACGGGAAACGTATTGGGGCGTCATAATACAACAGAACCCAAATAAAAATAAAGACTAATCTCGTTGTATTGTAAGGATTTGAATCATAATCTCAACTATGATCTGAATTTTTTAATTGGAGACATATAATAAATATAGTATTTTACGATATGAAGACACTTAATAAAATAATGACCACGGAGTTGGCGTTTTTGAAGGAATCAGACCAATAGATTTAATAGTCCGACAACATTTCACTATCAAGATTCGGAAAATAGAGTCGAAAGTTTTATGAAACCAAATGATGAAGACGCACTTTATTTTCATTTCATTCATTGTTTTTATTACAACAGATGTACATGTACTAGCTATATTGCTGGATAGCGACACCTTCACTACGAAGGTGAATGAATAAAAAAACGTCCAAAATCATGCAGTAGTCAACCCAAATCCTCCATTCGTTAGAGGTGTAATATGCTAAAATGGTGAGAAATCTGGATTCTATGTCTCTCAATGGAATGCTTACAAAAGCCCTTTTCAGAGTGACAATGTGAAATCCCCTCATACAAAAAAAAAAGAGGAAAAGATGTGTACAATGATTATGGGGTAAATTTCTTGCTCTTTTAACTTCCACGGATATTCCTACAAAAAGTTTAAGAAACAAATATCCACATTTTATATTTGTCAAAAAATTAATAAAATATGCTCTTATTATCGAAAGTATGCTCTGAGACAAATTTTTTTTTAGGAAAGAGAGATAGAGAGGCCTCCTGGGCGTCTCAAAAATGAAAACGTAGTTTTGAAAACCAATTATCAGTTTAAAATTAAAAAACATAAACCAAGGATATCAATAGTACTACGTTATTATGTTCTACAAATAATAAAAATGGAAATAATCAAAAATAAAAAAGGACAGAGGACCAGCCAAAGCGAGTTATTAGGGCATATTGTTAATAATAATAAGTTTCTTAAAAATTAGTTTTATTACATTAATAAGTACACACAAAAAAAAAGAATTTACCACAATGCCATATGTATAGGAAGAAAAGACCACAAGGCATAACAACTTTCATAACATTATTAAGCCAATATGCAAGAATGGCTCTTCCTAAAATTTATGTAGTATTCTAGAATTCGAAATTGCAATAAATTTTGATCTTTAGTATTCCAAATAGAATGTTTGGGTCAAAAATTATAAATATGTCGATTGCTATTAAATTTTAAAGTTGCTTGCTTTTTGTCCATTAAACTCAAATTTGATTTCAATCTAATTTTTATTCTACGAAAATGTTATTATAATAATATTTCTCACAATTTTATATGCCTTGTGCAATCAAAACATGAATTATTTAGTATTGTTGATAAAACTTAAAATCATGGAATATGAATATCAATAATATTAAAAGGCAAACAAAATTAACAAAAAATAAAAACATAAAAATTGAAATATGGCACTTGGAAATATTTTTTTCTTGGTGGTTTATAATCAATCTTTGTATAATAATCGATTTTTGTCTATTTTTCAGGCCTTAGTCGCAGGTTCAATATCTCAGGGGCAAACCACATCACCCAGGGGGGCTAGGGGGAAATAAATTGGGTGGGATTCTGGTCCTAGCAAAATAGCTCTAATGTTATGTACGGAGAAACTGGTACCACAAGGGTTCAGCAATGAATAACCAATTTACTACACAGATGGTCAAATGGTGGGCATTGGATTCAAACCATGGTAACTTGCGAAGTCTACATAGAACTGATTGAATATCCAACATAACAGCCCGATGCACAATATATGTATGTACTATACCGTAATTCTTATATATGATATAAATTATGGAAATGAATGTAATACATTGAGTTCTTATATCCAATTTTGTGAACAAATTTAATCAAGGAATATAATCACAACATGACTAGTAAAATGTGAGTTGGAAACACCCTTAGTTAATTTAAAACATGAAAATTCAAGTCATCAATTGCTCTTGTGTTACTAAAAGAAAATGTCTATTTACACATGTAAGTAATTAAATTCACTGTAACATGGCACAAAAAAAAACTGTCATTTGCTTGGTTTTAATTTCCATAAAAAAAAACTAAAAAGGAACACTTCAAAATTAAAATCAAAAACAGCCACCTGTGGCTGGCAAATAAAAAAAATCAAGACAAGAAAACATTAGTAAAAACTAGTTGAAATCGGATATTTCTTGTGTATATGCGACCATGGAATTTGATCTTTATATTCACTTTAATTTACAATGATATGTAGATATAAATACGTAAATCAATAGAGACTAACATCTAAAATATTATATTCAATATAATTCTGATATTCATACTAGTAAATCAGCAACATCTAAATGCTCTCAGAGCCAAAAGCTAATTTTTTGAGAGACCTGATATATTGACGGTCACTTTAAAATTAGCTAATAGTTCAATTATTGAATGCAATTAACAATCTAAAATCTAAATCTCTCGACTAAAATTAGATTGAAATATTCAACTCATATTATATACTAAGGGAACTTGGATATTGTGTATTGAACTGCAGGTCCTTTCTCCTTGTTTACTTTCTACTTCGGATCCGTATGTGGTACTCACCACAAGGATGCTTGAACGAGATAGTATTGAAGTGATAAGTAAAAATAACATGATCTCTTTCAACGAAATAGGAAGTATATTTGTGAGCTTTCGTTAGACCATGATCTAACGAAAGCTCACAAATATACTTACTATTTCGTTGAAAGAGATCATGTTATTTTTACTTTTATTATTATATATTCAAATATTAACTCCTGAAAATTAATGCATGCATGTTCGATATAATGACAAAAGCCAAACCAAGATGAAGAAATATTATAACCTTTTAGTTGAATGATTTGCAACAAACAGCGGATTACATCAACAATATAGGATTTACATATTTATCCCATGGGAGAGGAAAGAGGATAGATGGCTCAATATTATAGCGAACCACAGCCTTTCGTATGGGTCCCAGTCCATGTCAAGTATAACATTAGTTGGCCAGTTATTTGTTTTCAGATACATCAAAAATAAGAATGTGTTTATGATAAATATGTTTCCTATAATAGCATATTATACAACACATTTTGAGCAATCCAAATATACAGAAATTTCAACTTTTTTTTTAATGTGAAATTACTCGTAGAATCATTTTCATTGGTTCAACAAACTGGACACCCATGCATACAAATATTTTGTACGTTGAATGCAAAAAAGTATTGCTCGACCAAATACAAACACAGAAACATGGAATTAAGATGGAAAATAACAATGGTAAATCTAAAGCACAATATGTAGATAAAAAGCAACAGAGTAAAATAGAAGAGCTCAGCTCGATAGGAACATGACGTAGTTAAGGAAATTTTAAACAAACAAAAAAAAGATTAAAAATTACAAAAAAAAAATCAGGAACTTTCATTCAAAAGGAAAATTTCAACAGCAGTACAACTGACTATTTACAACGATAATTCTAAAACAACAATAAAAATAATAATACAAAATGCCTGTATTCAAGGAGGCAATGCTTTTCAGTGTAATAATCAGAAAACATATTACAAAACTAAAATTATACCATTGCCTAACGCCAAGAATTGTACTTGTTTTACTTGTTTCCAGCAAACTGAAATATGAAAACAGAATTTCTTTATGGGATAGATTACTTGAAAATCATATTAAATGTACTGTTTGTTTTCAAAAGTCTTAATATTTTTAAGTGTGTCCTTCATTGTTGCCATTACCAGGTGAGCTGCCCAGCAGATCATTACCCCAGTTCCAGAGATTGGTATTACCATTAGACCAGAGCTGCCACGGTGGCCAAGTACCTGTGCGTGATGCGTCAACATTACCATCCTATAAAATTCAAAAATTTAATGTAAATCAAACGGCTAAATTTACTGACAAAACTCTTCCGCGTGCCGGCCAAATTTAAAAACTATACACAATAATAAACCTTATAAATGTACAGACAGATTCAGTATTCGGGAAAATATCAGTCCGACAAATTGATTACTTTTCATGTTCTATATCAGTGAGACTTCTGCTGCTGCATTACCGCTGATAGAGATTTTACATTGGGTTAATATTTTGTAACTTTCAGAGAAATACACGAACTACTCACTACTCCTATTACGAGACTTAATAAAGTTCATAACTGAGAACAGAGATTCACAAGCACATGTAGATGAAGACAGAAGGTAATGCAGTTGCAAAGTTTTTAAGACATGAAAAATTTTCGGGAATTGCATTCCAAGCAATGCAACCAACGCAATAGTTCGTTTTCTGCACACCTCTCTTGTATTCCCTTCCCTATTTCTCATATTTCTTTCGAAATCAATTTATAACAGTAATTTAGCAAGAAACTCTAATCAACATGACCTTTACAACTTCATAAATCAAGCAGAAATGAGGAAAAAGGGTGGCACAGACGAACTATATTATGTAAGAAGTAACCAAATGAATCGCTCTTCTCAAAGCACTCATTTGTTAAATCATAATATTTTTTTTGTAGCCAGATGTCATGAAAGAACAAAGAGAGTTTGAATAGATAACGGATTGTTAAACGATAATGAATAAACGAACACCGAGTTTCATCAGATAATTCAGAGTCTTAAAATTTTTTATGTGAAGGAAAATTATCTAGTTTCCGAGGCCTCGCTCGCGTGCCGAATGGGCTCAGGTGTCAAGTTCGGCACGCGTGCCAGGGGTTGCCCACCCCTGTTCTAATCGGACCAGAAGAAATTTTCAAACTGCCGCCATCTTGTTATTTTTGTTTATGATAGGTGTAGTTCGAGGGTGGGCAATTACTTTTCTGAGTCTGCCGGTTACAGATAATAGACTTGATTATTGGGCCGGAGGCTCGAAGCTCAATATGAAAAATGATAAAAAACATTTATTTACGAGTAACAGCTAGTCCAACAACCAGGATAAAGTTTATTGTGGATAAGAAGCACAATGTAACAATCGGAGCTATTATGACGTGATTTAGATCTATATTTTGAACGGAAATTTACATTATTATAATACTTTAGTCGTAATTTCCGCAGACACAAGTGGGCCGGATGAAGCACTTTGGTGGGCTTCATAGTCCGTGGGCCATAATTTGCCCACCCCTAGTCTAGATGATTACTCAATTTTTTTCATGATATATTTTTAAAAAGAAATTCTGAAATATCTCGCTTTGCTTCTCAGTGAATAAAAACTGTAAAAGTTACTTACAGTAATATCCGGTGGATTTCCAGCTTGAGTATCTTCAATCAATTCTCGTCTGATAATACAAATCACAAAACCAATTAGTAACAATAAAAATCAAACACAAGGTTTATTTATTTGGCTTATTTATCCCAGGGGAGCGAAAATCCCTCAAGATGGCAACATCATATATACAGCAAAAAGCAATTTCATAAGAAAACATACCCTCTCAAATGTTGTACAATGTCAGGAGTATTGAAAACAGTGAATAAGTTGTTTCCAAGTTCATCTGTTCCTCCACCTTGCTGCCATGAATCACTGAAAATAATAAAAATCACTCCGGTAAACTAAGAAACATGATTTAAGCAATCTATAAAAATCACATAGTTAGAACAGCCTACATTCATCTGAGCCAGTGTTCTTCAAACTTTTTTTCATTACCTCAGGAGCTTCGTTTTGTGCACATAAACTATCATAATGCCATGTATCATACTTTTATCTCATAATTTATTTTAACAAAATTGATATATCTTACATTGTTCTAGGACAGATAAAAGCAATTTTTCGACGAAATGCTTTGCTATTTCCAATTCACTCAAAAATATCTCATGACTTGACCAAGGTGTTTCAGTTTAGGAACCCCTGACCCCGATCTATACAATAATAATTGCATTATATTCACTTACCTATGTTTATTAAAATCCCAAGTATTACATTTTGTTTTTCCATCTTGTTCATCAATAGATTGTTGTGAAGTCAACTTCCGATGAATCGCATTTCTTGCTATTCCAGCAACATATTGTTCATATTCAGGATCAACTGCAAAAATCAGAATTACAATGAAATCACATTGGAATGTTAATCAAAATGGCGGACATCATAACGTAGTATGTGCATCAGGTTAGAGTAAGGCCATAATTTTATTCCGATTTTCCTTATTTTAGTCCTATCACAAGTTCGGGGCAAGTCAAGTGACTCCCGTAGTTTTTGTGCCTGAAATTATGGCCATACTTCACGAGTACCATTTTTTTGTATCCTGATATCTCAATTGACTAGTTTAAAGCAATATTCTGATCAGGAACGGCCAAAACCGAATCTGATTCATTCTGGACATCCCTGATTCTGATATATGCAAACTTTTTGATGAATTTTTAGAAACCTTTTAATCAAAAATCCATTGTATAGAACCATGTAGCGAATTGATAACGCACTTTGTCTTCAAGATATTAGGCTAAAACTAATTTTAAAAAAGAAACGCAAGGTAAACACTCTGTGACTCTCAATCATAGTCTGGAAGCCATACAATATGTAAATAAATCTGGATAAGGATATGCATCACCACAGAGATTTCAAGTTTTTCCATACATAATTATTTTCATACTATATATGAGAGATTGCTTGTTTAAGGCTTTACTTGCGGAGAACGATTCAGGTAACAAAATTCTTTATTGGATACAAAATGGCTCTTGCTAAATTGTTGTCGCTGTTGTAGTGGAAAATACAAACTTTTTTTCAAATTTCGAGTCTTACAGCTTAATATTTCACCTGAAACGCTATTTTTGTATGATATACAAACATACCTTCAAGAAATTCGGTGCTCATATGAAATTAAGTACAATTCTTTTAACATATACCGTACTTGCATTGCAGTGGCAATATTAGTTATTTGACATCCGTAAGATATATTTCAAAAGTATTGCTATTTTGTTACAGAAAATTGAAATATTACCTCCAGAAAATTGTACTGTTTGCTCAGGAAGATCAGTAATGCACGGCCAAGTATTACTGCCTTGTTGTTGTTGTTGAGTTGCAAGATGTAATGGCGGTGACATTTCATTTGTTTTACGTCTTGTAATTACAGGACTTCCAATCGGACCTATATTTGAATAACATAATTCAATAATGAAATAATTCAAAGACAGCTTATGCTTTAAGCTCGTTGGTAAGAAAGATATATACAAGAATATTATATTTTCAACAAATATTGATCTGATATTACATGGGATCTGCAGGTTCCAATCCTGTGAGATAACACTTGATATGCAAAAAGTTTGCTGAACTACCCAATTGCGAAGCCTTGTTCACACAAGAGTATGTTGGTTAAAAAGACATATTTTTACACATTGAAAAAGAAAACTCTTTATCCAACCATCCACTGATACATAAGAAATTACTGTGTTGGAAAGACAGAGTCCATTCAGTTCAGTATTGCTCATCTGAATTAAGCTTCTATACCAGAATACATTTTTGATATATGAATGGTATAAAAAACAAACCCAAAGATCCTTGCGCTGATGAAACATTCACAAACTGATCCATTTCATTAGGACTTTCCGATCTCATTAATCCTTCCTTGTTTGTCATTTCCTGAAATGAATAACTTTGGAGATGAATGCATGTATTACTATAAATAAGCCTGGTTGCAATATGTTGAAATAGGTTCCTATCTTAATGGTTCAAGATTTAAAGTTGGCTTCGGCAACATTTTACACCCATGATAAAAATTCAATGCAAAACTACAAATTGTTCACAGGTATATTTCTCAGACAAACAAATAACTATACTCAACTTATTTTTACATTCAATAAATACAGCGTCTGGCGATCCCAGGTTTAATTCCTATTTTTGAATAACCATGTTTGTATCACAGGCTACAACTATTGGGTTAAAACCCCATGCAACCCACTTCCCCAGTGCGTACTAAAATTAGACAGCCAATATCAGTAGCTGCTTGTAAAGAGCCTTGTACAGAGTAAAAAAAAGCATCTATCAAATATACAAATTTTTAATTCTTTCTACCTCGCGTCGTCGCATTTGTTCCTGTAATGCAGCTCTTATTAAATTAGTGTTATCGTTTATGTTGTTTCCTAATCCACTCAAATTTCCTCCCATCATTTGCGGATTTTGTATTCTTTCTGGGTGTGGCTGATGATTCGGACTGCCATTAACAGGGTAACGATTCCCTGTCAGGTCCCATTGTGGTCTCTGACAGATTTCTGATGCAGGACCGGGTACCATAGAAGGTGGAATGTTGTTGTTATTGCTGTTTTGTTGCATTTGGCCCAAATTTTCCTGGTTTTGTTGATTCTGGCCTAAAAGAAGGAAAATTGCTTTTCAATTCAATTTTTTCACAAAATCTGCTCAAAGCACTGAAGTGCAAAGAGCTAGTGAGAAGAATAGACGATAAAGAATTCAGAATTGCGGGTTAGTGAATACAGAACGACGCGATACTTGAAAGCAGTTGATGTAAATACAATCAGGAAACAGCTACAGGTAGTAAATAACTGAAGTTCCGAAAATAAACTTCATATGGATGAGAGTTCACAGCCAAGGAGAATGACACCCTGAAAACAATATGGAAAAACAAGTTCCGAAGATCACAGTTCTTTATAATATTTATGAAATAAGCATGAAAAGAGTTTTGCAGTTCGCACGCCATTCCCAACATATTTTCAAACATGAAGAAAAACTCAGTTCCCTGATTACCAGAAAACCTGTAGTATTTGTAAACCAGCCCTTATCAATACTTGGCTTCATAAAATTTCACAAAAATTGGTCTCATTAATGGTACTTACTCAGTAAAAGTAATTGCTGTATAGCTACATTTTCATTATAACTTTGATTTTCGTTCATGATTTGTTGCTTTTGTTGTTTTAGGTTGGCATTCACAGCAAGACTATTGAAGTGCTGGAGTAAGGCTTGTACATTACCAGGAGACGCACTCTGAACCCCGTCCCCTTGACCAGTGGGTGGCGGATAACGGGTCATGGGTGGCCCCATATTTGGCGGGGCCTCATGTTGCATGGGTGGTCTATTACTCGGTGGTCTAACCATTTGTCGTGGATGGTGCTGCTGACTAATGGGTGCGGGACTGGGAGTACGGGGCAAAGAAATCGAGGAATTCGGATTCAAGTTGGGATACATTGGGGTTGATGGTCTGGGTGATGAACTCTGCTGAAGCTGGGTGAACATTGGGACATGATGGGGGCTGAATTCCTGTTGAAAATATTGACGTGGGTCAGGTGGGGGCATTCTCATATTAAAAGTCGCTTGTAAGTTACTCGGTAGAGTCATTGCTTGTTTTGGGGCTAAATTAGGAAACATATGTCCTGGTGGTCCCATATGAGGGGGTGGTCCCATGTTTTGACCCCGTAATTGGGGTAAAGTATTTGACGATGACTTCGGAAATTGATGCATGGGAATGTTAGGCTGGACGCTATTGAAAGACACAGGTAATGTTTGAGAACGAGATTTTTGATGAAATGGTGACGGGGGTTGGTTCATGACGTCAAGTGTTTGAGACAAATTAATTTGGGATTGCGACATCGATGATTGTGAATGAGTGACATTGATGGCGTTGTCTGTTTTGGAATGAACATCTGAAAATAAAAAAAATAGGAATCTTAATAATTATATATTTCAAACTTTTTCAAGGTAGAATGAAATACAGGTAATAATATAAGCTGCTGGATTGCTTCAGGATAGTATGAATGTCAGTAAGGGAAAACTTTTTTTTTACTGATTTGGTGACACATAATATATTTATTACAAAGAAGAAAAATGTGTGTTGAAGATTTAATCAATATCTGTATAAATGAGAAACTTGTTCTTGCAACTTTTCTTGCGTTAACAACTACAGCTCAATATGGTAGACAGTACTTGTACCACACAGAAGTAGTTCATTTATTGCGCAAATGAATTATGACCAGCTTTTTTGACCACTAAACTGTTTGTAAGCTTTCTTCCAATATCGGGAGACATGGCGTTACCCACTGAAAAAACATGGGAGGGTTACTTCATAAGTCACAGTTATGCGGTTCACCACCAGTTCAAGGCAAATGCTGAATCAAGCAAAGAATATGTTAAAATTGATGACTACCTTATTTATTTTTGGAATAAAACCAGGCACATTTCTGATAACACAAATTTTTTATTTAGACATTTTAGATTCAAATTATAAATAAAAAAAAACTTTGATATCTTTGCTTTCTAATTTTCAAGCATGTATTAAAATCTAATATATATAATTTTCGATATTTTCACTTACTAACCTGTAATTGGTAAAACGGGGTTCGAGGCTGCTCCTTCATCATTTCGCAAAGCTGTTGAGGTCTGTCAAAAGTATAAACGATTGAAAAGTGATTACTTGTGAAAAATCAATATCACACGATCTAATGTCAGAGATTATTCTATGATTTAGAAAACACACCGGACCACAATTAAAATTTTTAAAATCCGTAATCAAAATTCCTGTGTACACAAGAATGTAGCCTTAGGCTGATGTTAAGGTGTTGATAATACCAACGCTACCGTGCATTAATGAACTTCTTTTCCTTCTGTATTATAGTTGGTTTCAGCGATTTAATTTTTTTATTGACAATCAAGCATGAATTATTGTGAAAGCACCATCTAGGTATACTTTAACAATGAGCCATGCCAAGGAAATAAGCAGACTAAGACACCAGATTTCAATAATTTGGATTGGTTATCAACGATTGAGTATGACTCATTAATGGTGTACACACTCTTAGCAATGTACCATGTTTGGAAAGATATTAACTCAGCAACAAAGGGTAGGCGCTGATACATATCTGACTACATTATAAAACGGAAAATGTGCTGATAAGCAGTCTGTTTACTAAATGCAAAATAACATAATGATATATATCTAGACATAGTCACTGTCTCGATTAGCCATATAAATCTCATTAATAGGTGGAGTTTAATAACTGATAAATACAGAAAAGATTATTTAAAAAATATCCAAAATATTTAAAAGATTGTAATTTGAATTCAATTGAACAAAAATTTCAAAATTTGATATAAAAGCAATGTTCCCTCTAATTTTTTGTAGTATGTGTGCGCAGAAATTTTGGTGTGTGCGCACTTTTTTGGAAATGACTAATATTTGTGCAAAAACCAATGAAGAAATTTCAGCGTTCTAACCGGATAATAAGTGGGTCAACAACAAACTTTCTCAACCTGCCAACCGAGCACATTGTAAAATTACATCGAAATACATCTGTGCGCAGTAAATCTATGCATGTGCGCGGCCTCTGAAAGCTGTGTGCGCACGCGCACACCTTAGAGGGAACACTGTATAAAAGTATTTCATTTTAAAGAATTTTATATGGAATTTACTACAATTTTTCTTAGAAAAATCAGCCCATTTAGAATCGGTGTAGTAATCTGGGTAGCCAATGCTAAATTGGAGAGATAAGGATCCTTTTAAACGATACTTTAAATTAAAAAAATATTGTGAAGGTTACCGTTTTTAATTGATTATCATCATTGATCAGATTGGTTACATTTTCATCTTTCGTGGACGTAGGTTGCGCTTCCTCTTCAGGCAATTGCGGAATATCGGAGTCAAGAATTTTCTCAATATTTTCACTCATCTCCTGAAAAACCAACCAAAACAAATAAAATTAATATTATGATCGTTCATCAATAACATGAAAAATTTTACTGCCCTGTCATCAAAGGTCCATAGTTAAATTTCATTATTCAATTTTCAAAATGTTAATCAAGGTCACATTTCCGATAAAAAGGTTACGTGAACATGTCACGACTTAATCGTCAAATCACATGTTTTTAGTATAGACATGTTCACTTCTAAGCAGCTATAAACATAGAAAAGCTTATTTTCAAATTTTTTTTGCTAAAGTGGTGATGTCATGCTTAAGTTTATTTTGTAAACTTGAACTTCCGTTACCTATGAAATTTTAGGAGTTGGTGATAAATACAAACTACTGTGTAAGAGATTAAAAATCAGTGAATCCTCTAATTCCATAACAAAAATGAATAAGGCCAAAACAAACTTATAATTCAATGCGCAGATTGAATCCTATGTCCTTTTAGTTCAACATAGCCTGATTAGAATATGTTCCATATTCAAAAACATTATATCAGAATATATTCGATATATTGGATTATTTGGTTTTTGGTCATCCCCTTTGGAATCCCTCAAACAGACTTGTTCAAATATAAACAAAATCGAATTTCATCATAAAAAAATTTTTTCGCACGTCTGTTTCAGCTTCCTTAGCTTCCCTTTCAATCTGAAATCTTCTGCGAGTCGCGCGTCGTGAACTTCCAGATAATAAATTAATGACATCTTTCACAGAGTCATCATTGTCAGATGATTTTTCTGTTATTTAATAGAAAATATTTAATGACTTCTGCAAACTGTTACAACAGCATTAACAAACTAAAATATAGGTTATCAAATCAATTTAGTTGATATTCAAAAATTTTCAAAGATTTTTGCGTTGCTTATTAAGATACCAAATGGCAATATACAGCTAACAATTTATGAGAAAAAAGTCATGGTTTATCCTGAGTGATTTTTAGCTAAGTCATGGTTTATTAAGATTCATGAATTAAAATTGTGTGTACCAATACGAAAGTAACTAACTTTGTTTGCCTACTTTACATCAAGTTGTGTAAAGGGACTGAAATCTATGGGCATGGGCCAACACAGTCACTTGGTCAACACAGACAGTTCCCAAACTCGTAATAGAACTAAAATAAGGAAATTCAAAATAAAATTATGGCATAACCCTAACCGGGTACACACACTATGGGAGTACCAAAAAAAAATACAATGGTACATTTTTATGAATTTGTTACAAATAGAAAACTGAAAATAAAATCGATATATGCCTAAGATACTTGGGAAAGTCATCGCAGCCTTCCTCAAAACGATAATACATCACGGAATAAATTCACGAATTTAAAAAGACCTTCTTCGCTAGCTGTATCGCCCTCTTTGATTTCAACTACGATTTTCTTCTTCCTTCGCCTTTCCGATCCCGAATTTGATTCTCCGCCTTCCGATTTCACCGAACTTGTCTTTTTCACTAATTTTGTAGTCCGCGGACTTTCTCTTTTAGGTTCCACATCAGACCCAGACAAGACACGAGTGGATAAAACGGGTGAATTCTCTGTTGGAGGCTGATTGGTCAACCAACATGATGACATTGGGGTCAAAGGCATTCCAGATAATGTTTGTAAAGCCCGCAGAGATTGGGATGCTCGTCTTCTGTTTTGACTTCCTGTTTGAACGAACGTCTCCACAAATACTCCAGGTTCGGATCTGAATACATAAAAAATATTTTAACAGAAATTACGTACAGGGTAACATTAGAAACTGGTTATAATTGAAATAGTGAATTATTGATTTTAAAAATTACATAACTGAATTATTAAAGTATCACTAGACACCCATATATATTAAGATATTTCCAAAGCTTGATTGAGTATCCAATTCTTATCATAATTACATAAATAGCTGTATAAAAAAATTGTATAATTCTGAGAGCACAACAAAGCAATTTTTATTCGAAATGTCTTGCAACTGACCTTTTTTCAGCAGCAGCTTTATTGTTAAACACTGATATGTATCGTACATTGATTGTTGCCAGAGTTTTTTCTGGATCAAGATTGCGTTGCAACAATGACATTGTACCGGGATCTTCTTTGATACACCTATAAAATATGAAGAGATGGATCAATACAGGGATACATGACTATGGAGCATGAATTTAACATGCTTTTATTTATATTGGGAGTAAAAATCTTATTTTTAAACTCAAAAAGTCTTTGAGTAAAAGTATGACGTGAATATTCCCATATTCCGCTGGTCAGCTGAGATGTGAAAAAGACTTTAATCTCTTAGGTTTCTCCCAAAGACCCAAACTATCTTATTTTTGTGAATACCAAGTAAGAACTTATCAGAACATAAATCAAAAATCTCTAACATACAATGCTAACTTAGATAGATTTGAAAGCTGACAATAGGCCAACCAGGTGCAGAGTAACGTGATAAACAATGCAAAAGTAAACAAAAAACATAGAAATTACAAAAATGCCAATAAAGTTAAAGCACTTCATATACCATGAAAGTCATCATGAGCAAATTCACCTAGCCGTGATCAATAACAGGAGCATATCTTAATGCTTTGAAGTTTTTAAATTGGACACAGTTAAAAAAAATATCAAGATAATTTTCTCAAATTCACAATTCTAAATATACACTTACCAAGTTGAAGTGACAGCAACAACTATAAAAGAATCTTTGCGACAAATGATGGCGTTTTGCTTGTCTTTTGATTCACTGGTCATGGTATCCAGAATAACCTTAAATGGAATATGCATCAAATTATGATTCGATTCAAAATTCAGATGCGATTTCTGAATACGTGTTCGCATTGTTCAGTATTCAGTAAAAATTCAGTAAAGTATTCAGTCAATTATATGATTTGGTAATTAATTGTCCATACTTATTAAATCTGACAAATAATTTTTGCAAATGACATATTTAGTTGAATTTATTTTCAATTTTTCCTAAAATTATGAAGTTAAAATATCAATGAACATCAGTCCAAAATAAGACTGTTTTGGAATCCTTTGATGGTGATATAATGATATACACCACACGAGCTAGGGAGTTTTTAGTATTTCGAAGAAAAATCAGGCAGAGATGAGGAAGAGGAGTTGACCTTTTGCATTTTTTTTTAGGCCTACAGGTTTACAAACTATAAGAGACATAAAGTACCCATTACCGATTACAAAATTGAGTTTTATATGAAGAGTAAAGACAGGAATTTTTTTCGTGTCAGTGCGCTGTGAGTTGTTTTGATTCAGTGATAATTTAGCGTCACACGAACAAAAAGTTTGAGTTGATATATACCATTGTTTGCTTCCCGAACGTTGCCATAATAACAAATTAAGTAAGAAATATTTCAAATACTCACAAGGCCTGAATTTCCATATAGAAGTTGTAAGCTTGCTTTAACGTGGGTTCTCCATCTAGCAGGACAAATTTCTCCTAGTATTTCCGATGATAGTTCGTCTGTCTCACTGATGCTGAGTTTCTGATTGGTTGATTGAATCAGTTGGCGAATGGCATTCTGAATAAATGGGAAACAATAGTTAGAGAGGTGTTTGGGCATATTGAAGGTCTTGAGATATTTCAAAGGTATTTTCTAGTATTACAATCCAATTTTCGATTAAATCCTAATTTATTTCCCCATATTTTGAACAAAATGATATCATGTTTGATATACATAATTTTTTTCAATATATGAAATTCTACGCCTCGTTAAAATTACGTCATAGAGCTGATTGAAAGTATTTTTAGATACTGGTAACGCTGTATAATTATATATGTTCTGTATAAGTCTAAACTTACTGGGAGCAATTATTGATTTTGCTCTCATATAGTCAACAATATTACGACTAGTGCAATCTTGTGTATTCAAGTATACCCTGGGAATTAGAAGACCCATTTTCAAATTTTTGATTCAAAGAATCTTCACTTTATATTCGCACAGAACTATTCTTGTAACCCCTGAAGTCATATGAGTAATCTTAAGATATTCTTAATCCACCTTTGAGATGCTTATATCAGATTGGTTGGTGTTAATTATTTGGCGAATTTCACTTTTTAACAATCCTAAAACAGATGTATTTTGAAGTATCATCATGACATGTACAAAATTTAACCCTATAAAATTTGACATTTTTCAAGCGACTTTACCCAAAGCCAGAAAAAGGAAGTTTACCGTATATGCTTGTTTTACCGCCCGATCTTGATTAAGGGCCCGTTTGAATAGCCGCCCGTGTGAACAAAACATAAAATTAAATAAGGGCCGGTGCTTGAATACCCGCCAGATGTAAAAGATGATTTTTCAGTGGTAGAGAACAATAGGAAATAAGAAGCGCTTTTGTCACAACGCTGTTGAATTTTGGGCACCGGTAGATAACACTCACGCCTTAGGTGTTCAAGTACATAACAGATAGCATTGATTACGTAACACCATGGTTCTCAAACTGGGCGTCGCGACGTTTCAATATTGATAGGGCGTCGCAAAACTTTTCTTCTTTTGCGGATTTGTACCGGCGGTGCGTAGAAAAAGTCAAAATTTTCGTTATTCTCGTCTAAATCATACTCAAGAACTGGAAATAACAATATATTAATAATTGTAAGGATCGAAAATAACAAGCGCCCATGCTCGAATAAGGGCCGGCCGGCCCAAGTGAGTTGGTTGAAAAAAATATGGGCCCGGGCTACAAAACGAGCAAATACGATATATTTTCTTGGCAAAGTTGAAAATGAAAAATATCATCCACCCAAAAATTTAAAAAAACAGACAACTAGGCAACTTCAGAAGCTACTTCAAGTCTATAGTTCGATGGTTATCACATACTTTCATGATCCATGGTCTCCTTCAAAATACTCTTAACATTTTATGCTCTTCTGCTCTCCAATAACAATATAGAAACTAATTTCAATTCATCGAGGTTTTCAGTTATTTTATTTGACGAGTTGAAGTGAGGTATTCATGAATATAAGAAAAACAAATCTAGGAAAATTCACTTTAAATTCTTGCAAAAGGTTCATAGTACACGCATTCGTAAGTGACCCCCAGAAAACCATTGCAAGGCCCCCTAGGGCCAGTTTAAGGACCCCTGCTCCAGTCACATAATCCTATATAAGTTATATACAATCATTTGTTTAATGAATAAAGACTGCAGGCTTACCTTTTTCTGATTGATATTCGATGACGAATTGTTTGCATTCGCTGGAAAATCTTTTTTATTGACTGTGAGTGTCATGAGCGGAAGTTCACAGTGTAAGAATTGAGATACAGGTAATCGTTGAATGTCCTGAGCAATAGAAAGAAAGGGGGATAAATTGTAAAAAAAATATGTGGATGCAGTATTATAATAATGCTTACAAAACATTATTACAAAATTACATTACGAAACGTTTATATTTAATATTTTATAGACAAGAAAAATCCAAAGGAAAAATTTTATTGACACATTTTTTTTCACCTGTATGTTACTTTTATATATCTACATTGTTCAAATTTTTCAGATGAAAGAAACGCATACACAAACTAGTATTTAAATTTGACTACGAGTGCTTTACATTTCAAGACATGAGAAAGACACATAAAAACCACATAACGTCGCGACATAATAATTCTGCTTACTTGTTCCATTTCCATTTGAGAGCAACAACCTTTCAAAGCAAGTCTGGCTTTGTCAGGAGAAGAATAAAAACCACCAAACACAATGACAGATTCAGAAGGCAATCCACGGAGACCAACTTCATAATTCTATAAAATATTGAAAGTAATAAAATCACTTTTTATCTTATTAACTTAACCGAATTCGGATGAATTGAATTTACATAGACTTTTAATATTTCTTTGTTGAAAGTGAATGAATATAAAACCGGATACTCTCTATAGATATATTAACATAAGTACGGATTTTTTCCATAAAGTCTTATTACAAATTTTGTTATGATGTCAGTTCTCAATATCTTCTATTTTATTAGGTTTGTTTTTATTTTAATCAGTGTTTAATTTGTTTTTTTTACTTCATTCAATATACCTTTATATGGCCACCATTAGTTGCACAAAACGCATTTTATTTTACCTAATTTTATTTAAAACAGGACTTCATGAACTTCATTATATTCCCATAATTGGCAAGGTAGATTCTAGTCACCCATTATCTAAAGATTTTCAATTAGACAAAATACCATTTGCCAATTAGCTCATTTAAACTAAAATTTACTTAAACACAAACCTTTGAAACTACACAACAGTTTTACAGATATTTGAAAGTTCTTAAATGAATTCAGCTCAAACCTCATTCAAAAGACTTGGTATTTATCAACAAACTAATGAAAGATAGCAATATTGTCAAAGAAATCCAACATTGATTTATTCATTCCAAAACTGTTTTATTAACTTTTTATTGAAACTATAACATTAAAGAATGTCCTACTCTAAGTGCAGTATCAATTTTCTGGTTCAGTTTTTTCATGTACAAGTCCGATACAGAGTCCGATTTCAATAAATTTTGAATCTCAGGATCGGTGAGTCCGATGTATTTTCTGAGTGATCCATTTCGCTGTAACAAACAAAAATAATTTAGAAATCAATTTTATTAATTATGAAATAACAAACTTTTCTAACAATTTCAATAAACCAAATTTTGAGTATCATGAAATGCAATAAGTATCAATGCAAATGTTGGTGAATATACAATGTGCAGAATTTGATTTTAATAACATATGGAAATTGGCAGGAAGTAGACAATTTGATCATTTCTGTCAAATTGAAATTTTTACTTGCATTTATTAAAGTTTCTAAAGATGTGAGAGCAACCAGGGAGCTCCTCAAGCTATTCTTTTACCTATTAAAATACTGACTTCGCTAATTTTGTAATCGTCCATAAGGGCAATAATGGCTTTAATAAAATATGATAACAATAGTGTCAAAATGTGCCAACAAGGCAGTAATCTCAGTATGACATTATCTATTAGTTCCGCAAGGTAACGCCATACTTGCCGCATGTCAACACTAGGCCTACTTTATTAATATGTTTGTCAAGTGTATTTCCTAAATATAAAGCAGCAAATACATCCGTGCCATTAAATAAAGTAATTTAACTTTATTGTGGGGCTCGCAAATAGTCAACACCTTCACGGTCTCCATAATACCAGCAGTTGGGGAACCCCTGGTCTAATATTAATAAACCCATCTAAATTGCCATGGCAGTATGAAAGTCAGAAAGTGTCGAGTTTGGCCTCCATGCGCCGAAAGTCATGTTTGGATAAAAACAGTTCATAAAATAATGATAGAAGAAATACATAAAGCAAATAAACAAACAAATACCTCTTTCAGAGCAAACCAAGATTTGATATTGGATTGTGTATCGCATAATGATGTCCATTCAGATGCAAAATCAATTGTAGGTGTTTCAATAGAAGAAGGAATTGTGGTATCATTACCACAAGGCAACGTTGGTGCTTGTGTCGGGGTATCATTGCTTTCTGATGATGGTATCAACTCAGCCTGGAGTATAGAAGAAAAAAAATGATTAAATATTGAAAATGGTGTATCATAGATGTTTCCATTTTTGTTTCTATCATTATTTTTATTCAATGTTTCAGGTTAGTTATTTCCCACTAAAAATTGCATATAAGACCGTTAGTTTAACTATAATCTGAGTAAAACAAATTCATTTATATAACTTGAATTTTTAGGAAACAAGTCTTCGATTATCCTGCATTGCATATTATGTTTATGAAACAAAATAAATTTAACATCTCTGAAAAATAAAGGATGACAAGACAAGAAAGTTGTCATTTGTCAACTTGTTTTCTAATACATGAAATTCAATGAGCAAGTCACAAGAACCTTTTACCTGGAAAACTTTGCTTATAAAAGCCTCATTGATAGCTAGAAAAAACTTTATAAACAATTCCACATCTTACCTGCGAGTTGATATCTTTTAGATTAAGTTGAACTTTGAAAAATGAATTGTGAACAATGGAAAGGCAGTGTATACATTTCTCTAAAACCTGAATAAAAAAGACCAAATTTAACTGAGCAATTTTTAAAAGGCAAAATTCAAGTTAATATCAAAACAAGAGTGCAGTGCTTAAAAATATTGACTAAATGCAGTATAGCAGTAGTCTGTGATGTTAGTCAATTTTTATGCGTAAAATTTTCTTTAAAATCAATTCCCAAAAATGAGCTTAGTTCAAACTTTATTGAATTGATCAATCAATATCTTAAATATAATATAAACTTGTAATTGAAACAAAAAACTTTTTTTTTCTTGGCCGATTGCCCTGTCCCATATATTTATTATTGAAAGCTTGTGATTATATAAGATAAGGTTATTATCTTTTCCTATATCTGGTTAAGTTGTCAAAAAAATGTTTACAGATGATAGTCAACCTAATGGAATTTTAATTTATCATTTAAAGTATTCAAGCATGAGAATGACCATTGGCCTTTGGCAACAGCACTACTTCCTTTCTATGAAAGATTTATGGGGATTTAGTCTGGGAAAATATTTGTTCAACACCGGTAAGCAACCAAAACGAAAATTATGAGTTCATATTAAAACTTTATGAAACTGTATAACACAAGTAAAATTATATTTCAGTCGGTTTTACCTCCGTGGGTCATAAATTTTAACTAATTCATCACTCTGAGTTCAGACAAGGAAAAAATGATAAAAAATTAAATTAAATTGGTATATATATCCGTACTCATACCATACACCAAAAATTTTAATATCATTCGATATAGCGATTTAGTTTATAGAAATAAATTTTTGTGAACATGTTTTGGTACCAAAGAATGTGATTTATCCTTTTCAGTTTTCATAAATTCACAAGCTATTCAATTTGTCCTATTTTTTCCTTTTTAAATATGCTCCAACTAAAAAAAAAAAATTTTTAAAATTTAAAGTAATATTTCAGAATGTATCTTGAAGTGTACTATCAGATTTTGACTAAAAAAAACATAAACCGAAGGCAAAATAGCAAAAATTTAGCTCTCAAATAAAGAGGATAATATGAATATTAGCCTTAAAATGTGGCGGATAATATACTGTTGAAACACTCAGTAAACAATTCCTGAAACAGAAATGCCAGTCAAGCATAAAACAAAGAGAAAATACTTTTCTTTAAAATCAGGTAGGGATAAGTCAATGAGTCACTAGACAATAATGTGATGACTACAGAAATTTAAAGTATCAGGTTTACGAACCAATAAGTAGACTATTATGGTGAGGCTACCGGACATTGTTGTTTACAAGGTGGTATCAATTCAAGCATGACAAGACTGGACATGTTTATTCAGAGTTTAAAATAAACTCGAAATCGAAACTTTGATAAACTGAAAATGACCGATTTGAAAAAAAATAAGGGATTAAAATATATTCAGTAGATAAAAATGATTTTTTTTATCCGATATGGTCCATCTTTTTATTATTATAGAAAGCATTTATTTATAAGGTTAACTATAAATTATCCAGAGATCATCCTAGTTATGACAAGAAATACTCCATCAGTAACGACCCATCTTTGATTTGTAAATAATATAAAAGTCTAATTAAAAGACATTGTATTGCTGACAAAGCTGAGATAACCAACCATACCTTATAAAAATGTTTATTAAAATCTAGAACATTCATCTTACTGTTCGGCAAATCAAGATATATTGCAAATGGCCTGAAATCCCACATAAGGGAAAGCGAAAATAAAAAAAACAGGGGTGAGCTAAAAATAGATATTTTAAAGGTCGTTACAGTAATGAAGCAAGATGAAGTTACGGCACCATTCAGACGTGACGTAAGACTGTACAGCGGTTTTGGCTCCATTTTAATAATTCATTTGTGCATTACGTTAAGTTGATTTTCAAAAAATTCCCACATTTTGCTTGCTTGAACATTGTGCACAATAGTACATTCAAAAATAAAAAATGAATGAAAAAGCTAAATTGTTTTTTATATTAACAATTGGATAATAGATTACAAATTCATAATGATGAATTGTGTGAAGAAATAGGAAAATTTTTGTTTTGGTAAGTTTTAGTCAGTCATGGAGGTCTTGATTTTCATTTGATTTGATCTTTAATCCCTTTGGACATTTACAGCTTTTTTATATTAAATGATTTAAGAATAAGTTTAGGCTGATTTATTCAGAAAAAAATTTCACTTGGAAAAGTATCTCAGCATTTTGTTGCATATTGTTTTTAATTTGTAATCATCCATAAATAAAACATCAAATCTTAAGACAAATCGTATATTCAAACTCATTATAAAATTATTATTTTGATTTGAGGATATACAATAATATCCTTAACAATTTGCCATTTAATTAGGCAATTAAAATCTGACACACAATGACACAAGATTAAAGGTTTCACTTTTGATAAAAATTTCAATAATAAAGTTAACAGGATAATATTCAGCTTACTACTTACTTTTTCAAAATCAATTTTTTGTGAATAATATTATAAATTGGCTCGGTTTTGGACATCTTTGTCATCACAAATTTAATTCAATGCCATGCAATACCAATTCGTAATTATAATTTTTACGGGTTTGAAACAATAAATTAAGATTAATACATATATCAAAACAGCAAACTAGAGATGGAAAAGTTGTTCCAATAGTTATTGATTAGACTAACGTTAATCGTGAATTAATGAATAGCTGCTATTTTGGGTTTTACGTGATAATAAACCTGTCATTTAGCAAAACTTGGACGAAAATTTTTGCATATATGAATAGCTATCAATTTGCACAAGGAATATAGGCTTACTGATTTAAATATTGTATACACACATTGAAATGCTTCTGACATTGAAAATACCATTTTTCACCATTCAAACCATTTTTCACCATGAAATAACCCGATGTCAAGTACCGGTATATTGAAAATTCCAGAACAAAAAGTACTTCGCATGAAATCTGAATAGGATTTTATCAATGATATAGAAGAATGGTATTCAGTCACAAACCTTCCTTAATATAAAGTGAAGTCAAAATTAACAATCCCTGATGTTATAAAACCCCATACCATAACCCCAGCCTGACAGTATAATTTCACAGAGTATAACTTAATATCATATTATATTGGTCAAAAAAAAAATTTAGTTCTAAAATCTTCACATTTCTTGTTTTCAATTCATTTTCAATTGTTATTTGGGATACAGCAAAATTAAGCTACTGGTATATAGGCCTGCTCAGTTTAATTTATTAAGACCAGATATGCCTGTTTGGTGTTTGGTATGAAATAAAATCCGATGACCAGAATATTTTCTGTTAATAAATACAATAATGCTAATACTTTTGAATTTTTGCTTTTTAAAATTTCAATCTAGCTTTAGGGTGCAATTTAAAATAGAATAGGATCCACTATATAAAATTTTAATTATCTAGTACAGTAAATTATTCCGAAATGCCCATTCCTAAAATTTTACACAAATAACACTTGCTAAATTACTATTGTTAAATGTCATATTTCAGACAGATCAATTGTTTTAATTACATTAATTAACTAGTTTTCAATACAGAATGGATTTCGAATTTTGGTAACTTCATTTTGGACATCCCCTATAAGTAGTGAGTGATAAGTTTACCTATACACCTTATTGAAGACCAATCATTACATAGCATCTATAGAGCAGCTGAAATAAACTATTACCTTTGCGTTATGAGCTTTACAATCTTTTATTGCTTGCACTTGATTATTGTTATTCAACGTAGGAAGAGACAACTCCATGAGGATTCTAGCCAGTTCGTTCTTTGCCTGGAAATGACAAAAATTTAAGATTTATGTACGGATAGGTAAAAATAGGTTGAAATAAAGAAAATCTGATAAGCCAGTTAAAGCATATAATGAGGCCAGATATCATCTATTGTATAGGAATAGAAAACATCCTGATAGTTGCAGATGCACAGTCATAATTGTACATGACTTTCTATAAATAGCCAAATCGCATTGATCCACAATTATCGATGTGGTTGCTCAGTGATTAAAGCGTCAGACTCAACTATAGTGGCATATGGTTGAAATCCAAACAACTCATATTAGGAACTACAACACAATTTACACAAAATGCTTCAAATATTTTCATCAGTGCACAAACAGTAAAAACTTTTTTAAATTGTTATGAAATATGAATAGTTGGATGAGATATAACAATTCATTCAAATGTTTTAATTTGGTTATATCGCATTACACACTACTAAATGGAGCCGTGTGCAAAGTCGATACCAAATGACCAAATCTCAGGCGCATTACGTAATCAGATTTTTTTTTATACACTCATCTCTCTCTGAACACAGTCATGAACAAGCAGCTGCTACTATCATTTGGCAAGATGGAAATCTTTCTGCTTTGACGGTGCCAATCCAATTTATTACACTAGGGTGAGGTGCTGAGAATAAGATTTGAACCAGAGATTTTAAGACTTTAACCGGAGATAACATCATAGTAATTCGAACGCATTTCAGAAATGAAACAAGACATACCGGTATATACAAAACCTTGCTATTAGTTTTTCTGTTCAAATTTAAAAATAAGTGGTAAAAGCATCCACATATACCTGAACAGTTGTAGAAACAGAAAGCTGAAGCATTCCTGAAAACCTTGATTTCATGTCGTCAGCCAAGGCACCACTGGATGATTCATGGAGTAAATAAGAAAATGTTTCTGAAAGCCAAGAACCAGCTCGGCAAACCATCTGAATAACAGAGCAAATGCAAATTAATTATTTGTTGGGTCACATATGAATAAATGTACGATAAAAAAATTAAGATAAGTATGAGACAGAATTTTACATATGCTATCTGTTTTGACTGCAATTTGCCTATGTCATAAGACAAGACTGGCACAAATAATTTACTATTCTGTGATTGTGAAATACAGAATATATTTCAAATTTGATCATCTTCAAATATAAATTTGCATAAACTAATGTAAGTTTATAGAAAATGAAACTGCAGGAAAATTGACATGACCATTATAGTTTCGATTAATTTTTATTTTCATATAAAAGCTAGCAAAGTCTATTTTTTTGTTTTGAGCATCAGATATTATATGCATCAAATTGAAAATTTTTTATATAAAAAGATTTCAAATTATTCATAAAATCAGAATGTTACCTTATCAAATTAACTTAATTTAAATCTGCTTTTGTTATTTGATTTCTTTTGGACTTGATTGGCAGTCGTTAACTTATAACTTTAAGTTAGATATGAACATATTTGAAAAACTGATTATTCATACAAAAGTATTTTAGATAAGATGAAAAATGTTGAACAGTAGAAAAATAAATGCCACAAATATGTGATATTGACATTCCAACTAAAAATATATACGTCAATGAACTTATTTGACCAACACATCTGAGATTTTTCATGTCTTAATAAGGTTTACTACTATTCATTAATAGATCGTGCCTCAAAACTAGAGATTGGTATCAAGAACACACCTATGTAAAGAGCATAATTGTGGTGATTTGCGAACACAACGGGGCTAATTTTGGTTTTATCTTTCATCTGGCATTTTACGCAGCCTTGAGCGAGATTAGTGTAAACAACAGTGAAAAAAAACATTAAAGCTAACAGTGTTTTCGTAAATAAGAAAATTCAATTTTGTACACAGAAAATTCAAACGAGAAAGAAAAATGGAGGAGAGTTAATTATTACTACAATAGTCAACATTGTAAACAAACTCAGTAATGAAAATGAACTCAGTGCATCATGAGTTCACTCACTGAGAACTCACAACTTTTCATTCCCAAATCAACACGCATTCAGAGAAGGCCATTATTATTAATAACAACGAGTGCTGTTTACATTTGACCCGGTGACCGTACAATTGAACCCATGTACATTTGAACCCATGCGTATATCCACGGGTTCAATCTATATGCGGGTGCTAAAACCCATGGGTTAGGGTTAGTATGGGTTTAACTATCCGTGAAACAAAAAAAAATCCATAGGTGCAATAGCATACAGGTGCAATTGTCATGGGTTCAAATGTACGTGGGTTCAAATGTAATGGAACCATTTGGCCCATAATTGAGCCATAAACATTTTATAATAATAGGATATTGGTGTAATTGTTTGAAATCATAACCTGGCATTATTGCAATTTTAAATTATGGTTCATAAAATGATTTAAAAAGAATATTGTTAGTCTATAATCAGTCATTTGTATATAATAGTTTACTTGCTGTATAAAATATTACATGGCAACTACAGAAATATTATATCTTCAAAACTATATACAAGTAGTGACCAACTCGTAATGATCATGTGTTCTGACAGAATAGCTTATAATTAAATCGAAACCGAAGTTGGCATTGGTTCCATTGATAGCAAATTAAATGCTTTTCTTCTTAGCCAATAGAAAATTTCATATAATCATCCTTATTGATATTCAATAAGATTTTCATCGAAACTACATTATCATACAAATTACTAAGCTATTTGATAGCTATTCGATATTTGATTACAAAAATTTCTAAAAAATGGAATGTGATTTTATTATACCCATTTTATAGATATCACGACTATTGAGGAAGCTGTATCTGACCAGCCTATTGGAACATTGGATTTGATGGTGGAAGAAGCTGTATCTGACCAGCAATCGTGTCACACATAATTATTTCCCACTCGATTCAAACCTGCGTATCCACACAGTGTAATCAGAATTTATAGTTTGTTTATTAAACCCTCCTTTTGAAGAATAAAACAATAAAGGAATACAAAATAAAGAGTTTAAAAGAAACTTCATTTCAACGAAAATTTCAAATTTTCTCTAAAAAGATTTTTCAACCAATACACTCAGTTCACACAAAGTCTTCCAGACATTGTCAGTCACAAACAAAAACAAGTTGAATAAATTAACAATACAGTACGGCTAACATACAATAAACAAATGTTCGCACCTGGATTGAATCGAGATATGCTGATATACATTGTTGTAAATTTGCAATTTGTGACTCTGCACTTCCACCATTCATTGGAGGGCTGGAAAACAAGAATGACAAAAAAAAACTGATGAAACTTTCCAGAAAAGAAACAAGGAGTATTGTTTGATTGAGATATACAGTGTGTTCATGAAGTCCTATTACAGTCAAAATTTGGTCAATGGGCTATCTTAACCAGGTTCATTTTATTTAAAAAGCAGCACCTTTATGTGGCCACTATTAGTTGCACAAAGCACACAAAGCTTTTTTACCTAATTTAATGCAGGATTTTGCGAACATGCTATACATTTTTTCCCTTGTCTCTCCATGTTTTTTACTAAAATAGGAGGAACAAATAAACAAAAAATAAAAATACATGGAATTTTGCAATCAGTGTTAAATTTGTATTTCTGAAAATATACTAATTGATAAGATCATTGAAAATACCACTAAAGCCTTCTCAAAATAGTAAATCCAAACCAATGAATAGTACAGTACGAAGGAATTCACTCTAAAAAAAGAGTTATTAGTTACATACCTCATCGCTTGTATATATCTTGGCTGTCTTGTTACATTCTGTTGCTGGGCAACTTGTTGTTTTTGTCGAGTTGGATTAAATGATCCAAATGGGAAAGGTCGACGCCCTAACTCCATTGATTATTGTTTTAGGACTGGTCGTTTCCAAAAAATAAGAAGTTGACATTCATGTGACGCAAGTATCCATTATTCCACCATACTAGTTAGTTCACGAAGTTTCAGTAAAATAATAATACTGCGAGGTACTAAATGTTTAGAAATATAAAAATTCATAAATTAATTTGGTTTAAATTTTCCAGAATTCAGAAATTGGAGTTTTCGAACTATGATTCGAAAATTAAATGCCGCTTTAATTTTGATTGTAAACTTTTTGATATCAATAAGCTTAGAAAGATGCCTTTATCAGGACAAATATATTTTTACTTAATTATTCAAAAATAAACAATATATTATGAAGTCACATTTTATCATTGAAATGCATTTGGTAAAATCGAGGCAAATTAAAACACATTTTTACCATGTTGGACTGATTTAAACTTCCTGATCACACATGAATTAGGATAGTTGCGTAGTTCAGACACATAAGGATTTTCAACAGTTATATCAGCATATCACAGTTGTTCGATTCCAAAAATAGCCCCACATTGAAAGACATCAACTAAAACAGTGAGTGCAAATCCCTTATTTACAAGATCACATCCATATATAGACACAAATTGACAAACCGACAATATGTTATCTGTTGCATTTGCAGTCATGCCAGACGCCCTCGATAGAGACAATAGATTGTTTGCTTTATTGAATCAAAAATTGGGATATCTCAGAATTAGAAACTGAGCTCTCCTGTATACTGGTATATAGCTAGCGCCCTAGTGAATACTGGAACAGGCAATGAATTTGACATTATTCCAACCGGTAGTCTTATTTATTGAAGGTTGTAACCGAAACGGTAAAGACTTGAAATAAACTTAGAAATACTTTAGTGAAAACAGCTCCAAACTTTGAATATAAAATCAGCTCAAATAGAAGCTTTCTCTTTGTAGATTTTTCAATTAATGTTAAATTTTTTTTGTAGTTTCTAACATTCGCTCTTTGTCATGTCAATTTTGTATATAAATGCAATAATGCCAGTGGTTCAAAACCTTATATGTGACTCCTTTCAAAGACCAGAAGACTCTTTAACACTTGTGGTAGTGGTACAGTGGTAACCCTTGTCTACTATCACACTTGGATCAATGACCCTAGTCTACTATCACACTTCTGCACTTGGATCTTGAATAGTGATATCTCAAATTGCCCCGTCGATTCCAGACTTTATCACAATGATTACCGGTATTGGTTTAGGCCAGGGGTCCCCAAGCTTTTTTCATGACACCACAAGGACAACTTTCAAGTGTCCAGTGCGACCCCAGGTCAATATAGACTATATACAGTCTATATTTTCAATGAAACTTTAGAGCTTCTTTTACTGGACTTTTGAGATTGGTCATGTGGTGGTATCAAGTAAAATATGCTAAAACCAAACAGTGATGTCACAATACTGCAATAAACACCTACCGGTACCGGTATAGCCTCAGCATGGAGCGATGCCTGCTATGGGCCAGTTTTACAGTGAGCCATAGTACAAACAGCTAAATCTAACATGGTACCGTACCTCAGCGACCCCATCACCTGTTTGCGACCCTACCTACTTCAATCAATCAATCAATTTTATTCGGTCACTCTGATACAAAAAAAACACAAAACAACAACAAAGGGACAAACAAAATACAGAGGACCTGGAGGACGGGCATAACTTAATAAAAAAGTTAAATACGTACGTGCCCGTCCCCCAAAAACAGAATAAAACAAAAACACGATGTAACATCGGGCAACAACTACTTATCACTCCGACCCAATTTGGGGTCGCGACCCCTGGTTTGGGAACCCCTGGCCTATCACTCGCTATAAAATATCTCACCGACTCGTCAATTTGCGAAATAAACAGCACAACAAGGAGTTTCAAGACAGACAGACACCCAAAAGTCACACTGGAGTTATTTGTCACGGCGCGTCCTATTACCGCCATCTAGATTCACTTCCGAAAAATTGAATGACCGACTCATGACAACGTTGTTGAAAATGTAAGTTTTTATGCCTTATTTCGAATAAAAAATAAAACTCATTATTTTCATTAAAAATAAAACGTTTAAGTAACTCAATAACTGTAGTAAACTCGAAAATAGAAACAAAACCAGTCCATGCTTCCGAAAACGAATACCTGGCTAACTAATCCCATATCGGTACCGTAGGCTAGCCGACATGAACTGGTAACCGGACGAGAGGGCGTGGTTCGCCATATCTTTAAACCATCTTATCGACTTCTCTCTCCCCCAAAATCATGACCGCATAAGCTTTCCCCAAGTTGTGATTTTTTTCCTTAAAACGGCATACTGTATTTTCATAAAGCCCGTCGTCGCGTAACAATCGAAATTTTTTCAGATCCGACAGATTTTCTAGCGCGATAGGAAACCATGCCTGTCGGCACACGCCGGAACTTAGGATAGGATAGGATTTACATATTTATCCCGGGGGAGAAGAAAGCCGATAAGACGGCTTATCCATATGGCGAACCACGGCCTCTCGTCCGGTTACCATTCCAAGTCGGGTATGGGATTAGTTTTTTACTGTATTGTTTGTTTTCGGAAGCATGGACTTGGTGGTGGAGGAAGCCGTAACCGACCAGCGGTTACGTGAACCACCCAACGACGGCGAGGAGTCCAGCAATCCTCTCGCACATAACCATCCCTACATGGGATTCGAACCTGCGAACCCACGCAGAGTAACTAGAGGTGCGGTGGCGAGCGTATTCCTAACGCTTAGCCCGTTGAGCCACACCGCCGCGCCAAACCCTTTGCAAAATAACCATGGGAAATATTATATATAATAATAATTAATAACGTTTCCCCGAACTTTGACCCCAGAAAATTTCTTCTTATACTTCCGTTTAAAAATACTGATAGCTAAATTTAGCCTATTTTATATCCATAGCATAGTCTGGGAGTCCTATTTAAGACAACTGCAACTAAAGTAAAGATCCTCGGAGGGAAGGGGGGCTCAACACACTACTGTGGCTACTCCAAAACCTTCCTATTATCGTCCTGCTGCTCTATCTCCTTCAACTTTCCTTTCCTTCACCCGCCATCGTATCTCTCTCAATTTCTTGACCTCCACCCGCTGCCCTGCTTTCTACCTTCGACCCACTTCTATCCCAGAGCCACCTTCCTATCCTATTCTCAACCCACTGTGCTACCACTGTCAGCCTTCCTATCCTCAGCCCACTACCTATTTTACTGCCATACCTCCTTTAACCTTTCTATCTCCGACCCAATGTCCTACCTCTCCCATGTTCCTATCCTCGCTCCTTAGCCAATGTCCTATTTCTCTCAAACCTCCTATCCTCGACCCTCGTTTCATACGACTCGGGTATGCCAATGAGATAATTGGAGCGTACGTTGACGAAACAAGACAATAAGGTTGACGGCATTTGTGACATATTATTATGGGTATATTTGAATATGAAACAAACGTATAGCTTCAGTGAGTGTAAATGATGGCAAAAATGTTTGAAATCTACGAAAAGGACTTCTTACATCATTTGCCAGGTCATTTAAATGTAGGGTGCAATCCCAAATGGTAATGAATCACCATAATTGGTAGCTCACAAGTTTGCTATTTGTTAGGTCACTGATGCTCCTGGAGGCGGAACCATGAATAAAGCTATTTTAAAAACATAAACACGAGTACACACTACACGCTGGACGTGGAACCACTGACACGAGCAGTAGCCTATTTAGCAGTGGCGGCGCGTCAATAGGGCCAACCGGGGCAATGCCCCGGTTGTTTTATCGGTATAATAAAAAATATTCGAAAAATACCTCAATATCGGTTGTACAGACTGTCTACACTAGCCATATTCTCCCGACATGGTTCATTTTTCGCTCGCAAAGCCTTCGCCGAACGTCGACGGGGCGACGCCTATTTTGCCCCGGTTGCTCATTGTATATCGTATTCTCTCTTTTATCTTCCACTCGCCGCGTTTGTCTCGTTTGTTTTCTGTTTCTTTTCCTAATTCATCGGGGCCGATCGGGGCTAGCCCCGAAATTATGACGACACAATGCCGACCTTTCTTACAACAACGTGTTGACATATTCACGCATTCCTTCTCGTTCGTTGGTTGCTTGAAGAGTTGATAGTTTCCTCGCCTTCGTTTTTGTCGCTTGTTTCGCTATTTGAATCAGTTAGAGACCTTTAGTCCATTTGCTTTCGATTTTCCACATTCCTTTTGAGCTCCTCACTTCTTTCCGGCTTCGCATTTCTTAGCCTTAGACCTCATAATGAATAAGGTTGATGCACTACTTCGCACTCCGTTTTCGCAGCTGCCGTTGGAACAAAAATTAGAGGTACAACGTCTTGGGCCTTATCAACCAAAAAATTGTTCACTGGAACAATCCCATGACGGAGGAAAGCGTCGGCGTACATTCTGCGCAGAAACTTGGTATAAAAAAAAAGGGTTGTGTTACAGCGAGGACAAAAATGCACTTTTTTGTTTTTATTGCCTACTTTTTGCTACCGCCCGTGACTCACGTTGGTGTAAATTTGGTTTTAGAGATCTTAAACATCTTTCCGAGCGTGCCAGGGATCATCAATCTTCTATGGAGCATCTGCACAATGCAGTAAAATACCGAACATTCGGAAATGTTAATATTGCAGCACAGTTGGATGAAGGACGCGCGGTTTCTATTCGTCGGCACAACCAAAACGTCGAGAAAAACCGCCATGTTCTCGGTCGATTGATAGATGTTTTGAAGTTCATTGGTTGTCACAAGCTGTCCCTCCGTGGGCACGATGAACGGGCTGGCTCTTCTAATAGAGGGGTATTTTTGGATATGGTGGAATACACCGCATCCCTAGATACAGTATTGAGAGATCATCTTGATGCCGCAACTGTTTCGAAAGGGACATCAGTAAGGATATCCAAAATGATTTGCTCGACTCAATGTATAAAATTTGTTTACAACATTTGGCTCTGGAAATTGAGAATTGCCAGTTCCTTTCGATTCAGTCTGACGAGACAACTGACATCACGTGCGTTTCCCAACTGGCTGTGATTTTTCGGTTTGTGAAAGATGGTAAACCTACCGAGAGATTTCACAGCTTTGTACCAATCGTTGATCGCACGGCTTGTGGGATATCGGCTGTACTGAAAGAAGTGTTAAAGC